TTACCTGAAGAGGGGTAAACCAATAAAGTCAATACATTCATTAACCCCAAAGTACTTTCAAACCAAGTAACTTCAAGACACAGTCGCCCAAAAGGACTGCAAAGTTTCATTATTAGACATGTATCTTACAGTATATAACAAAATGATATTGTTCAGGGAGGATTCTTCTACCTAGATTTACTGAACATGCGCATATGTTCTGTGGTAAATAATTATCCACAGAAAAACCAAGGTTTTTAAAACATAACCTCAGCAAGCTTTTCTTCTTGTTATTTAAGGTGGAACTTGTTCAGTTAGTCATTGATGGCGTCAATTACATGGTTGACTGTGAGAAGAAGCTGGAGAAAGGTCAAGACATCAAGATACCACCTCCCCTGCCACAGTTTGGAAAGAAATGAAGCTGCTTCCAATGAGTATCAACTGACCTGCCACGAGTCTGCTGTGACAGACCTTTAATTCTGTATATTCAGTTCCTTAAATACTGCAACTTGTCAAACGGAAAAAAATAAAAATAAGACCCTGTCAACATGTTCGGTAAAATGCTACCTGGTGCCCCAGATATTGCACCCCTATTCGACTGCTCTTTGAAACCATGTGACCAATCCTGTGGTCCTGCTATGGGAATGTAAGGCCAGCATAACGCATCTGTGATGCCAGCAAAAGCAAAACAGTATAAGCAGAAATGAAAGCCAAGGTATTAATGCCTCCATACTATATCCTTGGGAACCTGCCACCTCCAACTGTTCACATTGCATGTCCCTGACACTCCCACAATGCCCATGCAGCAACCAATCTGCAGCAGCAGCTGGAATGATGTGAGGAGCTCTCCTTGGCTATGAACCAGTCAAGCTTGATGCTGATACCAGGGAATTTTATAGAACAGATAATTAAACGTTTGGTCCATGAGCAGTAGGGCTGGGCAATATCCGGTTTTCAACATCGTCATATATCATCAGCTAAACATCACAATGCACTGATATATCCTGATGTCTGAAATAAGGATGGAACTACGTAGAGGCAAATGGGGTAATGTCCTGGCAACTTCTACCTAGAAAGAGAGAGGTGGGGAAATGGGGGCTGAAGGTGGTGGTTTCTTTAAACTGCTCTGCTGAGGGGCGGGCGGGAGCACAGCTACCCGCACCTGCCCGGAACAGTTTAATGAAGCCCCCTCTGGGGCCTTGATCTGCTAAGAGGTGGGTGGGTGGGTGGGAGGCTGCTGGGCCTTCAGCTGATTGCCCAGCCCTACCCTATACTGCTCCTGCTAGTGGGAGCCAGATTGGAGGGCGTGCTCAGCTTAGTGAGCCCCCATACCACACTGGTTTATGCAAGCAGGAGCAGTATGGGGTAGGGCTGGGCAAATTCAGACATCATGATATATCGGCATATCAGAGAGTTTAGCTGCTGATATAACATGATGTTGAAAACCAGATACTACCTGTTGCTCTGCAGTGCAGTGGGAAGAAGCAGCATAATATAAAATCTTAGACTAGCAGCTCAGCCATATGTTTACTTGGACGTGATAGCTCCTGATTTCAGTGGGATTAATTTCCAAGTACACTTAGGAACATAAAGAGTTCTGTAGGATCAGAACAGAAGTTTCTCTAGTCTGGCACTCTGTTCTCCAGTGGCCAACCAGGTGTCACCCAGTTGGATGCTCGCAAGCAAGATGTGAGCATGATCCCCAGCAATCTGTCTTCTGAGGTATACTGTCTCTGATACTGGGAGGTAATACAGACATTATGACTTAGTAGCAACTGGTAGCTTTATCCTCCATGAATTTGCCTAAGGCTGAGCTCCTAGTCTTAGTAATGCTGTTGTTTTTGAGTGATGCAGACCTGAACTTACATTCAGTGACTAACTAGTTACGTAAGTGTAACTGGAGGTGCTGCATTACGCACAACTGCACACAACAAGCCAGCAACTATTTATGCAGACATAATAATCAATATCACCTTCAGATGTCTTTTACATTTTATTTCTTGCCCGTACCCTTTCCCAAGTTTACTCTGCTTTCCATGGCATGCAAACATGGCCTTTCCAGGCATTATAATAAGCAAATCGGATAGAAATGAGAGAACTCAAATCCCTGTAGCTCTTCACTTGGCATATCCCAGCAACGCTATGCTTTGTTGTTTGTATCAGCCATTGGTGCCACAGTCCCTTCGGCTAGTTTTCAATGAAGCTGGCCGTGTTTCTACCCCAGCCAAGTACATCCTGTTTTTGGCTCCTGCTGTAAATCATTACTTGGAGTGCCACAAGGGTGACAGCTCAAGTGTTTTGCAGAGAAAAGAATCTGGTGAAAATGTGCAGCAGGAGACAAACAGCACAGAGAGCTTGCCAGAGATAAAAGGAGTGTGTTGATTATGATTTCATCCCCACTCGAGAGGGTGGGGGTGGGGGAGAGATTTTAAGCATTTTTAAATCCTCCAAAGTGTATGCCAATTTTGTATAATTTGCCTCTTTCGTTTATTCCAGTTTCAAATGTCCTACACACCAAGGACATCCTACACATCAATAATGGGTTCATCTCAGATTGTGAGGGGTTGGATTAAAAGATATATCTGCGATAACATGTGTGATTTCAACAGTAAATCACAACAGAGAGGATGCATCAGAGACAAACTGGCAGACGTGAATGTTTGTGGAAGCCTTCCATGACTTATCGAGTCCACTAAGGGAAATCAATATAATAGAAAAGCTGTTGGTGAAGAATAAAGGTTAGGAGAGTAGAGAGAGCAGAGAGGCAAGAGCAGAAGGCAAATGACACAGATGCTGTCTGCAGTTAATCCATTGCTGCTCCTGTACAAGCCCCAGAGAAGAGGGGGAAATAGGCGCCTAGGCAGAGAGAAGAGTCTCCTGGATTGAATCTCATGCACAATGCATTTCATACCCAGTTATATCCACATTTAAAGAAGCGTTTCCCAATCTTGGGTCTCCAGATGTTGTTGGACTACAATTCCCATCATCCCTGACCATAGGTTGTGAAAGACTGGCTTAAAGCCCTCTTACAGCACTCTAACCATCATGGCTTCCCCAAAAGAATACTGGGAACTGTAGTTTGTTACAGGTGCTGAGAGTTGATAAGGGACACTCTAAGAGAGCTACAGTTCCCAGCACCCTTAAACGATAGTTTCAAGTATCCTTTGGGGAAGCCATGACTGTTAAAGTGATATACAAATGCTCTAAATGTATGGTATGGATATGACCAAAGTTATCCTACAGCCTCTTTGGGATAAAGGAGAACGAGGCTATGCATTTTCAGAAAGATTACATGTAAATGTAGCAAATGTAAGGAAGAAAGATTGATAAAACTCCATCCACATGGTGAGAAAACGGAAATGTGATTAGGATGCTCAGCTAGAGACACAATCAGATTGCTGAATTAATACATGCAAACTCCATTGCCTAGTACCATATTATAATCACATTTTATAGAGAGAGAGAGTGCGCGCTACTGACCTTTCATTCAGATAAAACTAGTGCAGATAAAAGGTTATCAAAAGCTGTGGTGCTAGACTGATGAACAAAAGGAATATATATGCATTCTACCCTCACAAATGTGTGGAAGAAGATAATAAAAAACGCACAGTACCAATTAAAAAATCTTGAAATAAATGATCCAATTCATTTCCCTCTGCCATAGAATCACATTCTATTATTGATCATCTTGGTCGTCGTCCTCTGCACCACGCCTTTAACAACACTGAAAGGTCACCTTGGTAATGCAAGGAATTGATAACTCTTGAAACCTCTCATTTAATTTGCAACTGGGGAACTACTTGTGTTTTTTCAAACTTTCCCAAGAGTCTCCCAGGAGCAGGAAACCCCCTTGCTAATTTGCACTCCCCCCCCAAAAAAAAACTTCTCCAATGCTAGAGAGGTTCGAAAAAACAGCAAGAAGAGACCAGGTACTGACTGATTCCCCTCCCCATTAAATCAGAATTGCACACAAGTAAATAAGTTTCAAACAAAAACCAAACACCGAGGAAATGAGAGTTTAATCCTGTAAACCAACTGAGAAGTGAAAAGACAAAAACTCATACCTAGGATATTTTCTGCCAAGCTCTGTCTAGTGATGTGAATGGAAGCAGCAGAATAGCAGCTTTCCTAGTATAGCAACCGTTCAGGTATTTGTGAAGGGAGCAGAGATTCATGCCAGTCCATACAAATTCTCATCTGGATACTTCACCCCACAGTTTATACCAATTCTAAGCATGTTTAATTGAAAGTTAGACCCTTTGGGTACAATGCTGCAATGCTCTAGGCTAGGGCTTTTAGATCCAGTGAAGTCACTCCCTAATGAAAAAGACGGAAAGACGATTTTTGCCCATTCCCCTTTCCCTCCATACCACTTTCTACCTTGTTCTGGAGGATCCTATAACTCTCTGGAGCCGATTTTCAGGGGGGAACAGAATAGAGTGGGTATCCATTAGTGAATGCCGCCACTGAATCAGAAGCCTTTCCAAGAGTGCAAGGCCACCATTGGCTTCTGAACTTGACTGCATTTATAGGTGAACCTACCTAATCATGCTTTCAGAACCAAAACAAACAAAGCACAAAGAAAAATACAGTCATCCTTCAAAATTTGCCCTTTTGCAATACAGTCCTTCAGCTAAGCTATGTGTACAAAAATGCATATATTAAAGCAAAGGTGTTCATAAAAACATATACATTCATGAAAATACCATACAGAAATTCATTATATAAAGGAAAATTGCTTTGCAAAAATGTGTACCTTAGACAAAATTACTTATAAAGCTGTGTATGTTGTGGGGGGGGGAGAGAAATCTCATTAAAATGCTGAATTTTCATGACGTTTTTTAAACATCCCACACTGATAAAGAAATACAGTGGTACCTCAGGTCCATTCTTAACCTGAAACTGTTCTTAACCTGAAGCACCACTTTAGCTAATGGGGCCTCCTGCTGCTGCCACGCCGTTGGAGCACGATTTCTGTTCTCATCCTGAAGCAAAGTTCTTAACCTGAAGCACTATTTCTGGGTTAGCAGAGTCTGTAACCTGAAGCGTATGTAACCCGAGGTACCACTGTATGGGAAACTGCCTTATACTGAATCAGACCACTGATTCTAGCTCAGAATTATCTACTCACTCCCACTCCCATTCACACAGTATCCAGTCAGCTCCTATTGCTGGTTTGGGTGCTGTGTACACACAGTTTGCCACAATCGTGTATTTATCTTGTCATTTCTTATGGCATACTGCATATTGATGCATTGTCCCCTGCAAAAAACTCAACAGTTTCAGTTTGAAGAGAAGAATAATTACCTTGCTATGTTTCAGCTGTTAATACATACACAGTCTGACTAATCTTTCAGAAAGGGATATTCCCAGTCCTACCTGGAGATGTTGAAAATTGAACCTAGGACCTTCCAGAAGAACAGATGTCCTGCTGCTCAGTTTTGGCCCTTTTCCATCTTGGCTGAAAGTTCTGGAAAACTTGCTCCCTGCCTTGCAGGCCTTTCCCCACCTGGCCTGGGAGGGCGGGGCCCTGACTGACTCCAGCTGCAGAAGCTGAAACTGATGAAAGTCTATTGAGCTGGGGTTTTTGTTCAGGGTTTTTTTTTTGTTGGGGTGGAGCTGTTGCTGTTTTCGATATTAATTTTTTGTATCTTTATTTTAGATCTTATTATGATTTATGTGGAAACGGTTTAATTTGGTTTTGTACTTTTTGAAGTTTTACTAATTGTTTATGGCTGTTTTTGTTATGCTTGTAACAAAATGTGTTTTTATGCTACAAGCCACTTTGAGCATGGTTTAAATGATGGAAAGGTGGTGTACAAGTAAAATTATGTATGTATGTATTTCTTGCTTAGTCTGTAGGTTGATCTGAAAAGCGTTAGAAATTCAAAGTGTTCTTAAAAAAAGAAAAATAGCTCTAATCAGTGATAACCATAGTCAAATGGTTAAATTTTATCAATACAGTTATTGTTGGACTTACATCTGTAGGAAATACTGTTGTTGCAGTCAAATATACATTTTATATAGTTTACAGTTATTTCAATGGGGCTTGGAGGAAAAATATCTGTATTGTACCCACACATTATTCATGCTACAGATAAGCTGCCGTGGAAACCAATTATTCCACTAAACTCTCAAGTACTGTGGCAAGAAGTCAGTATTTATTTTGCAGTTTATTAAAATCCATTTCAAAATGTCATTCATTGATTATTCTTTTCTCTATTAAATTCACTCTAATGATTTTTAAACCAAGGCCAGTTCTTTCTGTAGGGAAGGAAGCATTTAATAGTAAAACAAACTGTTTCTTTGTACATATCTCCATCTACTGGTAAAACTCTTTAAAACAGAAAGGAACATTTCAGCAAAGAGAAGGAAATACTATTGATAAGCTTGATAAGTTAATAGTATTTTATCAGGAATTTTTAACAGGAAGTACAGTATTTGACTCAATAACAAGGACAGAGTATATCTTTTGCATAGGTGTATAACTAAGAAAAGCGGGTTATTAGTATGCACAGCAAATTGAACGAGGGTATATTACTCCATAGGTTGTTCTATTATATTAACTTTTGCCTTAAGACTGCATTAAATGATACCAACTTCTGAAAAAGAGAAGCAATAGCTAAACTTAGATTTATGAGGATGGAAACTGCAGGTTGGACATGTGCTCTGCCAGGGTTATTTTGAAGTGGTACAATCTTATAAATATATCCTTTGCCATTTTATTGAAATCTTTACTATGCAAAATTTAAGGGGGAAATAACTTCATGTTAATAAACATCAATTTTTATTTTAAAGATTTTGTTTTAACTTTTCATGTAGGAAATACTAAAGCAAAGCGGAACACAAAGCAAGTAAAATATGTAAATAAAGTAGGATTTCTTCAGGAAGAGAAATGAAAATATCAAAACCGAAGTCTTCCCCTACTTTCAAAAAAGTGGGAAGGAAATAGATCAGGAGTGATAATAAGTTCTCAATAAATATAAGATGGAATATTTAATGGACCTGTGATCATACCTCAGTAAACTCCAGGAAATGAATATTTGCTTTTCATAAGTATTTAAGAGTTTTTATTTCTACAACAGATATGTGCCACTTAACCAGGGGTAGCAGGGAACCTGTGACCCTCCAGGTGTTACTGGATGACAACTCCCATCATCCTGGAGTACCAGCAACGCTAACTTGGGCTGAAGGAAGATGGAACTGACAACACCTGGAGGGCTGCAGGTTCCTTGTCCCCTCCCCTCCCATCTCAGGGCATGGAACTTCCACATTCCATGTGTGTGTGAATAACGTAGACAGGAATGTTCATGAATAGCTTTTTTATGAAATTGTTTTAGTGTTTCTACAGATGCACTCTTTCCACTGGTAGCAGTTCTATCAATAATACCTGCCTCTCGAGCAGTTTTGATGGAGCTGAGAATTAGGCAACAAACACTGTCTCAGTGTCGCCTAGTAACTTTCCTGCATTTCCAATGGCAGCTCTATAAGATACGTATATAGAAGTATGAGCAGCCTGGTCCTTTACAGAGTAAGAGAAATCTTAATCCGCTGAAAATCAATAGCACACCTAACCCTATACATAGAAGCAGACTATAAAGCTTAACTTTTGAAGTAGAAACTCCCAAACATTCATATTACTGAACTGTATTTGTAAATAACTGTCAACTGTAGGAGCATGCTCCCTCTAGTGGAAAATGTAGTAATAACTTCAAATAATTCATCAGCTGGCCATCTGTCCTAAACATTTGAACCAGTGCCTAGGAGATTCCTGGGGCATCATATTCTACACCCCTAACTTATGGGAATTTTTGTGATGTGGTCATGTTAGAACACAGCTGTGTATCCTATTGTAAGCAACTATTTTGGCACAGGCAACATGTTAACTTGGAACTAAAACTCATTGAGTTCAATTACTCCAAAGTAAATATAAATAAGAGTGAACTGGCCATATTCAGGCATTATACTATACCCTAGGTTAGTGTTATAAAGAATGTGCCATGTCAAGTCTTGGGCTTGTGTGCTCCCGCTTCCTTGTCCCACTTCCTCCAAATGTGAGGAGAGTTAAAAGTTTCCAATTTTATTTGGAACAAACCTCCTTTCCTATCTAAATACAAGAACTTGTGGTTTTTACCAATTAAATCTAGTTAACAAATCAGGATATCAAACCATGGTTTGATCCTGCTTGAATTATACAGTAATTTGTAAAACTGCAGTTTTCTACACTCAGATGAAACCTGCAACTGGGACTTTTAATTGTCACTCCATCCTGTGTAAGGGAGGAGACAAGAGAAAGAAAAAAGGTGTGGTGCCATTTCATCAGAGCAAATAATGGTTTATCACAACATCTAAATGTGGCCACTGAGCCAGAGAATAAATATAAGTCAGGTGCTATTTAGAAAGCACAAGTTATTTACTTTTTGTGCAATATGGACTGCTATCATATATTAACCAATCATAAACATAAGAAAATAAAAACAAATATTTTACCTTGGCGGAGTTTTTGAGGCTTTGGGGTTTGTCTGTTTTTTAGGGCATACATGCTCAGGAACTTCCCTATTTTCCCCAACAATAACCGTCTACCCACCTGGTAAATGCCACTGACTGTTTTTGAGTTGCAGTTGTCCTAAGTACGTACAACTCAACTCACAGTGAGATTAAACCTGCTATTCAACAATCTTGGGTTTCAGCAGCCTTAAAACCTAGATGGCCGGAAAGTGAGGTGTCAATGTCAAAATAAAAACAAGGCTGTTTACAGTCTGCCTCCCAACAAGTCCATTTAAGAAGCCAAAGCAGGGCAGGAGGGTGGGGAGAGAGTGACAGACATCCTGGCATTGACTCTTGATGTGAACAAGGATGTTCCCGTAATTGCAAAAGTGCTCCTATTACGTGTGTGAACTTCTAGCACCTACAGTCATGGGAAACAGAAAGTGCACCCTCTTTGAATTCTGTGGTTTTACATATCAGGGCATAATAGCCATCATCTGTTCCTTAGCAGGCCTTAAAATTAGGTAAATACAACCTCAGATGAACAACAACACATGACTTAAGCAAATCAGTCTCTTAAGCTTAAGCCAAGAAATAGTATTCTCTATGAAATTGATTATCAATATACGTATCAAGGCTTTGAGATTAGACCACTGAAGAAGCCCGGAAAACTACATTGGGAGTGTGCTACCTGCAAGCCCCAGTAAAAGGGCCCCATCGGGGGGGCGAACAGCGGCCTCTTGATTACTTGGACTGCCAGGGCAAAACAGGTGCAAAACGCTGGCACCCTGTCTACAACTTCATTAACATCCATTTACAACTTCACTAGCATCTCTCGGTATTGTGAACAACACCGAACTTACCTTTTGTTGGTATCTTCATGAACTTACCTAAAAAGATAAAGAAAACAAAAGACTGAGTTAAGCATTTGAAAAATCTATTGAAATCAGACATTATAAGTTCATCTTAGACTGGGTAGTTCGCAAGTTTCTGTGGCTTTGCACAAGGTTTTGTATTTTTCTCAGAAGATTGATAAAGAATGTATAATTATTTTGGTAATTATTGTGTGTATATTAGTCGCCAACGTGTTCCATAGGAATTAGTGGCTAAGCAGCAGATAGGAGCTGCTAATCAGATGCCCTTGCAAGTGTGCCCACCTCTATAAAAGCCAAAGTTTTAGCAGTTTGCTGGTTTGGAGCATTCAGGTGTTTTAACACAATGCCAAGGAGGAAAGATGACACAATGCTCTTAGAGTAGCAAGTGGTGTTACCCATGAAACTGGGAAGGGTTCTAAGGCCATTTCCAAATAATTTCAAGTCCATCATTCTACAGTGAGAAGATTATGCAAAAGTGAAAAACATTAAAAACAGTTGTCAGACTTCTCAGGAGTGGACGTCCCAGCAAATTCACCCCAAGGTCAGAACATGCAATGCTCAGAGAAATTGCAAAAAATGCAAGAGTTACATCTCAGGCTCTATAGGCCTCAGTTAGCATGTTAAATGTTAAAGTTCATGACTGTACAATTAGAAAAAGACTGAACAAGTATGGTTTGTTTGGAAGGGTTTCCAGGAGAAAGCCTTGTCTCTCTAAAAAGAACTTGGCAGCACGATTTTGGTTTGCAAAGTTGCAGCTGAACAAACCACAAGACTTCTGAACAATGTCCTTTGGACAGACAAGACCCAAGTGGCTATGTTTGGCCATAAGGCACAGCACGTTTAGCAAAAAACAAACACAGCATATCAGCACAAGCACCTCATACCAACTGTCTAGCACCATGGTGGAGGGGTGATGATTTGGGTTTGTTTAGCAGCCATGGGTCCTGGGGACCTTGCAGTCATTGAGCTGACCATGAACTCCTCCGTATACCACAGTATTCTAGAGTCAAATGAGAGGCCATCTGCCCGACAGCTGAAACTTGGCTGAAATTGGGTCATACAGCAGGACAAGGATCCCAAGCACACCAGCAAATGTACAACAGAATTGCTGAAAAAGAACAGAACCAAGGTGCTGCAATGGCCCAGTCAAAATCCAGACGTCAATCCAATTGAAATACAGTGGTGCCTCAGGTTACATACGCTTCAGGTTACATACACTTCAGGTTACATACTCCGCTTACCCAGAAATAGTGCTTCAGGTTAAGAACTTTGCTTCAGGTTGAGAACAGAAATCGTGCTCCAGCAGCGCAGTGGCAGCAGGAGGCCCCATTAGCTAAAGTGGTGCTTCAGGTTAAGAACAGTTTCAGGTTAAGTACGGACCTCCGGAACGAATTAAGTACTTAACCCGAGGTACCACTGTACTATGTGGGACCTTCAGATAGCTGTGCATAAAGAAAACCTCTATGAACTGAAGCAACACTGAAGGAGGACAGGCCAAAATTCCTCCACAATGATGTGAGAGGCTAATAAAGTCCTGCAGAAAACAATTACGGTACTTCATGTTATTGCTGCTCAAGGTGGTTCTACAAGCTATTGACTCATAAGATGTACAAATGCTTTTTCACACACAGCTTTTCCATTTTGGCTTTATTTCTGTTAAATACATCAATGAGACGGTGAAATACATAATGTGTGCCGTTATCTGAGGTTGCATTTACCTAACTCTAAGACCTGCCAAGAAACAGATGAGTTCGTTATTATGACTTCACATGCAAGACCACAGAATTCAAATTCTTTCCCCCATGACTGTATGCGCTTACTTACAGCTACATTAATGGAAAACCAAGAAATGAGGGAAACGCATGGTGGCTTTCTTTTGCCGCCGCCCACTCCGCCTAAACCTGCAATCCTATACAGAGCCCGGCTCTTTTCAGCCCACTGAGGCTCAGTGTGTTGCGCGCGCCTAACCCTGCACACAGCCAGGCTAAGCCAGCACATAACCTCGCGCTTCCCGCCTGTTGCTTCGGCTTCCGCCTGCGCCTGGTCCCATGGCAACCGCTCCGCCTCCACCCACCCACCTACCTACAGGAAGTGCAGCAGTTCGGGCTCCGGACGTTTCCGGTGCCGCTCTCTCCCTCCCGGGCTGTGCGTTTCGACTGCGCCGGAGGCTTTCCGTGGCGCTTCTCGCCTCCTGACCCCGGTGAGTGAGGGACCTCTTGCTCGGGAGGCGGGGTAGGCGAAGCGGCGCCTGGAGCCGCTGGGCACTTGCTTCAGGAGACACCCGGAGCTCGGCTGCTGCCCCGGAAGGCCTGAGTGCCGGGGGCTCCTCCCTTCCCTCGGTAGCTGCTCCGCACGTGTCCGCGGAAGTGAACATGCCCAGGTCGGGGTTGGGTGAGATCCCGGGCGGAGACCCTGCAAACTTCAGGCTTGTTGTCGGATCTATTTCGGGTTTATTATTATTATTACCCTGGGGTGTTTCTGAGCCTTTGCTGAGTCCCCGGAATTTTTGGTCAATGCCAGAACCAGGTTCGCAAGTCATAAATCATGCTGGTCGTTTCCCACCCTGTTGCTTTAAAGCAGTCTTATTTAGGGGAGAAGGATGCTAAGCCACCGCTGCCTTGCAGCTATAACTCGTTCCTCGAGAAAACCCCGAGGATAAATCTGTACCCGCTGTCTTGCAGGACATCTTTGGGAGAAGAGAAGGCTAAGGCTACACAAATCCCCAAATGGTGTCCCTAAGACAGTTGGATGGCGCTTTGTACGCCTCCTTGTGGTAACTCCTGCAGCCAAGCTGGTGCCAAATGTATTGCTCTGCTTTCCTTTGGACCACATCAGTGAGGCCAAGAGGGGGATTTGTTGTCTGGGCAGCCAAGGACTCCATACACATTGCCCAAGCTTGCACCCTGGAGAGGTCAGTTTGGTGCCACTAATGCAGCAAAAACAATGCGGGAGGCAGCCATAACAAATTACCCGTCTCCACAGCCACAGTAGGCACTGTGATTCTCCAGCTGTTAAACTTAAGCCTTGGAAGTGCACTCCACTGTCTCTGGACAGACAGATGGCAACAATTTAGGGTAGGATCTGTGGGTTAGGATTTTCTAGTTTATGGGTGGGAACCAGCGACCCTTGCCCGTCTGTTTCAAGTCATCCAGATCTACTTGCCAGTAGATCTCACTCTTAATTTCTGCCCGTCACTTTGTCTCCAGTTAGTCTCCAGTTCCCCTCAGACTGGGAACTGAAAGGGTAAAGATTGGATCTGAGGCACTGCCCAGAGGGGAATAAAAGGAGGCCTGATTCTGCTTATCCCCCGCCCCGCCCCCCGATGTTGTGGACTACAACTCCTATCAGCCCCAGCTAGCACAGTTGTGCTGGTTTAAACAAATAGAAATGGTTATTCAGTTCTGGGTCCACCTCATTAATCAAGGCTGAACCTATAAATAGCAGTAATCCAGTCATGTGAACCTAACATCTTTTAAATCTCATAGGAAGTCATGACCAGGTGGGCACGAGCAAATGTCACCCACAACAAGAAGGCTCTGGATGCAACACCATGGGAACATATGAAAAATGATGCCACTGGAAACGCAACAACAGATAGAAAGCAAAGCTCTTCAAACAACTTTTCCTTGAGAAGTACTCAAGGGAAGAAGAAAAATAAGAAGAAAAAAGACTATACGAATGAAGATGTCAACGGTTTTATGGAATATTTAAAACAGAACTCTCAGACATTGCATAAAGGAGAGGTGATCAACAGCCGTGAAGCAAAGGATGAAATAGCAACAGCTTTGAAAAAGGACCGGCGGCGAGAAGGGAGAAGAGTGAAAAGGCAGGAAATGAAAAAGAACACAATGGTAAGGTGATGTTCCATTGTTATTTCTTTCTTTCGGTGCCTGTTACTTTTTCTTTTCATAGTGCAAATGACACTACTCACTCATATAAGTGAGATCACAATAATTTGTCTCAGTCCAGATAACCGTTAGTGAACACATTTGTGTCTTGGCTTCTGTATATTATTGAGCATGCTTTAGCACAGGGATGGGGAACTTATGGCCCTACAGATATAGTTGGACTCAAACTCCCATCAGCCTCAGCCCATCATCTGAAGGGCCACAGGTTCCCCACTTTAGCATGAAAATAGGTTTTCTCCTCATGTTGCAGTCTTTTGTGTACACATCACAACTTTATCTACTTGTAAAAAGCTTGTTTCTGAATTAGATTGATGGTTTCTGGATCTGCATGTATGTTTAGTGCTCAGATATTCTTTAATGTTTTAACAGACTTTGTTTTGCTTTGAATATTCAAAATTATTAAAGCTGAACTAGAAATTTATGTTTGTTCTGCTATAATTAAATGTTTTGTTATACTTAAATGTTCTTGAGCCAAGGAAGTTTGTATTTCTATTACTGTAGTCAGCACTCTCAGTTTTTGTTGTGTCTTTAGTCTCTCTTTTATAGCAGAGTGATAATTCAGTCATCCTACAGATTGTAGGGATGGGAAATAAAATACTGATAAATGAAAGTTATGAGTTTTATGCACAATAGTAATGTTTTCTATGGCAGTTTTCATCTGCAGATTGCATTACAACTGATACAAATGCAGAATCAATTTATGCAGTTCAGATCACAGTATGAGAGCTGTAAAAGCAGCTGTCTATAGAGAAAATCACTCATGAGGACTTCCAGAAGTCATGCACAGCAGGGGGAAACAAAATAGGTTAGGTTTACAAAGAGTGATGGCATTCATAATCCAATAGTTTAGTTATGCTACTTCATTAGGCATGATTATATTCTGGAGCAATATCACCTTTCCAGAATTCACAAAGCATTTAGGGGATGATTATGATGTAGAATTTGGTACTCTTGGCATCAGTTTATAGAGTCATTTAATGGCCACGTATACTCTGGCTACCCATTTCAGTGTAATTTTCTGGAGCGATGAATCCATAAGCTAGCTCCTACTCAAGGTTAAATAGATAAATGTGTGTAATTTGTTGTGCTTAAGTATGGTTTGTGGAACTGCTTTCAAATGGGGTTCCATGGGTGTCTCAGGTTATACTTAGTGCTAGAAAAAGGGTGATGTCACTGAATGTTTAGGATCCCCAGCTAGAAGGTGTGTGCCTTTGGCTTTTCTCTGGATAGGTTACTCAAATACCATTGTTAAATGAGAGGCTTGGTGAGAAGAATGGCTTTGCTCTTCAGGAATCTTAACTTCAGATTAATGGCCAAATTAGACATGGTGTTAAAGATACAGTGCAGTTCTTTAAAAATCCAAATTCCATCAGTTTGGGTGGTGCCATTTCCCTGCATGTTAAATGCAAAGATTAACCCTAAAACACTGGGGCTGTGTTACTCTAAACTATGCATCACTGGCTGCTACTTCATCAGATCTCATTGGTTGGGGGGGGGGCTAAGATTCATTTGAAATGTGGCTAGCAGAAAAAGAGATTGCTTTCAGTTCATATCTCTTTCTGCTCACTTAGTAATTCACCTTGTATCGCCAAAGGTGTGCTTCCACTGCAGAAAGCCAGGACACGGTGTGGCAGATTGCCCAGCTGTACTCGAAAGCCAAGATATGGGAACTGGAATTTGTTACCGCTGTGGATCTACAGAGCATGAAATCAACAAATGCAGAGCAAAAATAGATCCCGCTCTTGGTATGTGTAATATCTACAACCCGACTGAATGTTGGGCATGGTAAAAGTTACATGCCTGCCTTAATATTTTTCAACAATTCACGTAGTATTAATGATTTTAACCATTCTAGATTACAGTAATGCTGGCTCACTGCAGTGTCTTATATAATCTTAGTGTGGATATTTCGATTGTAACATCATTGAATTCTTACAGGGGAATTTCCATATGCAAAATGCTTCATTTGTGGTGAGATGGGACATCTCTCAAGGTCATGTCCCGATAATCCTAAAGGACTCTATGCTGAAGGTGAGTGCAACTGTTGCAAACCCCCCCTCCCCTACCAAAAAGATAACTACAGTGGTACCCCGCAAGACGAATGCCTCGCTAAATGAAAAACCCGCAAGACGAAAGGGTTTTCCGATTTTTAGAGGCTTCGCAAGACGAATTTCCCTATGGGCTTGCTTCGCAAGACGAAAGCCCATAGGGAAATCTCCTGGGACAGCGGGGAAGCGCAGCGCACCTTCTCCTCTGTTCCCAGACCTGTCCTGAAGGCTTGTGGTGGGAGGTTCGGGAACAGAGGAGAAGGCGCGCAGCGCTTCTCCTCTGTTCCCGGGGCTTGCGGTGGGAGGAGGGTTTTTCCTCCCCACCGCCAACATTCAGAACAGCGTTCTGAATGTTGGCGGTGGGGAGGAAAGCCCTCCTCCCACCGCAAGCCTTCAGGACAGGTCTGGGAACAGAGGGGAAGGCGCGCAGCGCTTCTCCTCTGTTCCCGGACCTGTTTTGAAGACTTGCGGTGGGAGGAAGGTTTTCCTCCCCACCGCCAACATTCAGAAGGCTGTTCTGAAGGCTGGCAGTGGGAAGAAAAGCCCTTCTCCCCCGCCAGCCTTCAGAAGAGTTCCCGGAGGGCTGCCTAGGCTGCGGATAGCAGCATGCTGCCCCGCGCAAGGGGCGCTCTTTAAGCAGAGCGCCCCTCGCGCGGGGCAGACATTCGCAGCTTGGGGAGCCCTGCAGGAGTTCCCCGCAGGGCTCTCCAAGCTGCGGATAGCAGCCTGCTGCCCCGCACAAGGGGCGCTGTTAAGCAGAGCGCCTTCGCCGCGGGCAGGGCCAGCTATCATCCGCAGCTTGGGTACGCCGCTGCGGGGACTTCCCGCAGGGCTCCCAAGCTGCAGATGTCTGCCCAGCGCGAGGGCGCTCTGCTAAAGAGCGCCCCTCGTGCGGGGCAGCAGCTGCTACCGCAGCTTGGAGAGCCCTGCGGGGAAGTCCTGCAGGGCTCCCCAAGCTGTAATGTCTTGCCCCGCGCGAGGGCGTCTGCTAAAGAGCGCCCTACGTGCGGGGCAGCAGGCTGCTATCCGCAGCTTGGAGAGGCCTGCGGGGAAGTCCTGCAGGCTCCCAAGGCTGCAGATGTCTGCCCCGCGCGAGGGGCGCTCTGCTAAAGGCGCCCCTCGGGCGGGGCAGCAGGCTGCTATCCGCAGCTTGGAGAGCCCTGCGGGGAAGTCCTGCAGGGCTCCCCAAGCTGGAATGTCTGCCCCCCGCGAGGGGCGCTCTGCTAAAGAGCGCCCCTCGTGCGGGGCAGCAGGCTTGCTATCCGCAGCTTGGAGAGCCCTGCGGGGAAGTCCTGCAGGGCTCCCCAAGCTGTGAATGTCTGCCCCACGCGCGGGGGCGCTCTGCTAAGAGCGCCCCTCGTGCGGGGCAGCAGGCTGCTATCCGCAGCTTGGAGAGCCCTGCGGGGAACTCCTGCAGGGCTCCCCAAGCTGCGATGTCCTGCCCCGCGCGAGGGGCGCTCTGCTTAAGAGCGCCCCTCGTGCGGGGCAGCAGGCCTGCTATCCGTCAGCTTGGAGAGCCCTGCGGGGAACTCCTGCAGGGCTCCCCAAGCTGCAGGTTGTCTGCCCCGCACCAGGGGCGCTCTGCTTAAGAGCGCCCCTCGTGTGGGGCAGCAGGCTGCTATCCGCAGCTTGGAGAGCCCTGCGGGGAAGTCCTGCAGGGCACCCCAAGCTGCAGATGTCTGCCTCGCACCGGGCAGCAGGCTGCTATCCGCAGCCTAGGCAGCCCTCCGGGAAACTCTTCTGAAGGCTGGCGGCGGGAGAAGGGCTTTTTCTTCCCACCGCCAGCCTTCAGAAGGCTGTTCTGAGGCTGGCGGTGGGGAGAAAAGTCCTTCTTGCCCCCGCCAGCCTTCAGAAGAGGTCTGGGGACAGACTGTCCTGGACCTGGTCTGAAGGCGGTCTCCATAGCAACGCATTAATTGATTTTCAATGCATTCCTATGGGAAACCGTGCTTCGCAAGACGAAAAACTCGCAAGAAGAAAAAACTTGCGGAACGAATTAATTTCGTCTTGCGAGGCACCACTGTAAGTTGATGGACATGAGAGTACTCCCCCTTTCTTAGTTCTAGAAGTTAACAGAGAGAGCTTTATCACTGGTGACCTTGTATGCTTCTCACCATTGTTTGGGAATTTTGGCTCATTGTCAAAGACACTGTTCGCCCCTTATCACAAGTATTTTTGTACTGGTTACTTGAGAAGCAGTTCTAAAATTCCAAATGGATTCCCATATAGGTTTTTTCCAAGTATTTACATTTGATAGGGGGGGGGAGACCACACTTAATTTTAGAGATACAGCAGAGTAGTATTCCATTATTCTCTTTAAATGTCAGCCATATTGATCCTGATCCAGAAAACCCGTGACACACCTATCTGTGCATGTACATATAGCATAGATTGTTATCAATTCCCGACCACATGCACAGAAATCATAGCAACTGCAGTATCACACGCTACATCATGAAATGCATTAAAAAATAACTTGCTAAGTTCTTGAATGTCGGTTCAACTGTTTATGATAGTTGATCAATCAACAAAGTATAAAATATCAATATATCTGGAAAGCTTAAGATAACCAAAGTTACCATTTGCAAGAGCAGTAACCGGAAATATCAAAATAATGAATCATTGGGTCGTGATTCGTAGAACAATAGGAACTCATTGTCTCAATAGAATCAAACTTCTTGATAGGATCTCATTTCGTTGCTAATCAAGAAATTTGATTCTGTTTAGCTTAAATTGAAACAATGGACTCCTGTCACAGACTGTACTTTTTGTATTGGCTTGCCATTTGGACTGTGTATATTATATATATATATCTGCCAACTGAAATAACAATAGTGCATAAAAGTGTATGCTACAACAAATCTTGTTAGCCTGCTGTAGCAAAAAGAGTGAAGAACCTTATGGTCCCTTAAAACTAACACAGCTGCCCATCTGAATCAGCCTTGTAGTTTTGATGTGATGGATCTCAAAAATATGAACAGTAAGTTTTGCTTCCTTGTGTTTATGAATTGTAAACATGCTCTGTACACTTGACATCTAGCATTTGTTAATATATTTCATATATTGTGGCTAAATACTTCTTTTGTGTGGGTGTGTTTTATCTTCTACAGGAGGTGCTTGCAGGATCTGTGGATCTGTTGAGCACTTTAAAAAAGATTGTCCAGAGAATCAAAATGCAGGTGAGGGATCAAATAATTTCTGTGTATCCTAAAGCGTAGTTATATACCTGTGAACCATTCTATATAAATAGTGAAGTCCGACTACTGATTATGAGTTATAAAATGAGTGGTACAACCCTCAATTTCACCTTATTGACCACATCTTTAAACAGGCCATTAACTGGGGGTGTGATGCCAACTCTACATAGTGCATCAACTGTTGCAGGTAAAGATTGCATTCATTTTGATATGCTTAATTTCTGTGTGGCTGATACGAAGCAAGTGACATACAGAATTGAATAATTGAATCAGTTTCAGTGTTATACTGCATTGGAATTGGCAACTTGTAAGTTTTGTACAAAACCTCCATTGGTTTCACTGAGACTTATTTTGGAGTAAAGTGCATAAATTGGGCTGTGAAACTGCAATGCTGAATTACATATAACTGTTCCTCTGCATTTGGATCAGGAAGCTGATTTCTTACGTATTCATTTATTTTTCCTTTCCTAGATCGAGTGGCAACTGTTGGTCGATGGCTCAAAGGAATGAGTGCAGATTACCAAGAGGTTTTAGACAGCCCTAAACTGCAAAAACCAAAACCAAAAATAGCTAAAGTTGTTAACTTCTGACAGCTGCTGTCTGGCATCATTCTTTACAACAATTCTCTGTGTTTGGCTTAAAGTTATAGTACTAAAAATGGACTGTGAACTGTGGTTCCAGAATAAGCCATAACTGCACTCTCCTAAGTGATGATCACTTAATAAAACCCTAACTTAAATGGAAGCTTCCTAGAGAAGAGAGGAAATGCCTTGCTAGAAGATAAATTGCAGCAAGTGACTGCATAACAGTATATCTCTGAACAGAAAGTTAATCTATGCAATTGCTGGTTGGAAAACCAGCATGTCACTGGGTAATATAACATGTTACTCAGTGGAGAGTAGTGATACCGATAAACAAATGGAAAGGAGCAATAATATGTCAATCTGCTTTTCGTAAATGAAACTTGTGCTACTACAGAAGGTATCTCAAAATGAAACTCAGTCCTATTTTAGTGTTCAAGTTCTTGACCTCGCCATGAACACGGGAATGAGACCCCAGATGAATAGCCAAAAGCAAAGTTAAAACATTGGTGGTAGCAGGGTTGATCTTGCAGCATGAACAACAATGAAATGATTGTGCGGTTTTTTAGTTGAATTAAATACTTGATGAAGCCATTTCCCTCCCCCACAAATAAACCAGTGTAATAAAACCACATGTATCAAGTTCTTGTGTTTTCTGAATAATTGTATTCTTTGCAGTGTTATAGTTTGCAATTTCATTTATGTTGACTACTTGCTGTCTGCTGTGACATCTGGATAATCACAGATTTAGTCTTTAACTACCATTCTCTCCTTACAAATTACTTACACTTCAACAGTTCCATAGTGTATTTCCCGGATGATCTGTTAATGGCACTGCCCATGTGGCTTCTGGAAGAACTTTTCTCAGCGATATCAATTTTCTTTTACTTTGGAGAAGCAGGAATGGTTAGCGAGTGGAGAGTGGCCATTTCCAAGATGTGCATCGCATTTTGAGAAACAGCTGTAGCTCAGGTTAGAGCACATATTCGCGTGCAAGATTCAGTGATAGAACAGCACTGAAGGAAGACTGCGCTTCTTGAAATGTTGTCTTCGGCCCCCTGATTCAGTTCCTACTAAAATCTACTGGAATTCTGTCTGTTTTAGTTATTCATTGTTTTTCTGGGAAGTTCAATAACAAAAATACCATTTAAAACCCAAAACAGGTTGATTTTAGTTATAATAAATAACGAGATGCTTATACAGCCATAAATCTAAATTAGCATAACACTCATAGTTTTAATTATTTAATTCAAGGGTGTGTGTTGATATGACTAAAATGTATACAGTAGCTCATTCTGAAAGCAGTATCAAGTAGTTTAAAATAGCATAGGGCACCTATATATTCACATGCTGCCCCATTGTGCAAGCAGGAAAGCAACCTAGGCAGCAGCAGTAAATCATTATGGTTAATGGCTTCCAAACAAGTCAGGATCGATAAGCCAAGTTTTAACTATGCCATCCTACTCTTGTGCAGAGGGGAGAGCAAAGGAGCTGCATGAATGCACATGGAGCTCATGCATGCCCTTACTAAGCCAGGACTTAATAGTTCAAATACAGCCTTGGCCTACGCACCGTCTCTGTGTTTGCAACTACAAGAAACGGGAAACACAACCTGACATTCTCGGGATTCTGAAATCAGTGCTTATTACCGAGTGTCATATGTGCATTATGTAACTGCAAAATCAGGAATAACAAATACGGCTGTTAGTTGAGATTAATAGACTAGGAAAATTATTTACAATAGAAATTTAAATTTACATACAATGAGATTTTTAAAATAAAAAAATCAGTATTTTAAATTGTGTGTAGTAATACGTATTGCTTTGACAAGTTTTCTGAGGACTCCAAAAGAACAATGAAATGTTGTTGAAAGAAAACTTAACTTAGTTACTGAATTTATCATTAAATAGCTCCATCGTATGATGATGTAGAACATTGTGATGATTTAGATATACAGGTCCTGAACATAAAAGTAGGTAGGAACTGACTTGCCAGCTTGATAAATATTGGTGTTAATGACAGCTTGTGTACAAGATACAAAGAATGGTAAAGCATTGCTTAATTAAATGCAGTCCATTGTGCTGCTCTGTAACTCCAAGAAATGAATGCACCCAGAAGCTGTATCCTCAATTGATTTTGATGAGCCATCAAGAGTTGCAGCAACATAAGGCATAACACCAGGTGTTCCTTGGATGCAGTAGGAAACCTTTAAACATATAGAAGGTTAACATGAGTTATGTGAAATAAGCACGAAAAACATCTTGTTCTACTTCATACTCAACAACTTGGGCTTCATTCTTAACATTATTTCAGTGTATCACTTCTTGCTGGTAAGAGCAGTATGAATATGCAAGAACATTTCAATTGCTTTCTGTGTCGGCCTCCCAGATAGCATAGGAAAAACCTATGTTGGTGCTTCAAGCCACCACACAAGTGCAGATAGCACTGGCAGGCATGACTCTTTGTCATCTGGATTAACAGGGAAAGATTATTGAAGTGACCTTGCACCCAAAAGTAAGCCCTGAAGCCCTGTGGAAGTTAAGTAGGTCTGGGTCTCATCGGTGCCTGGATGGGTGACGCACGGCAGCGATGGGAGACAGTGGCAGTAGCGGCTTGCAAGGACTCACAGCAGTGATGGGAGTTGGTGGCAGCAACAGCAGCAGCGGCCTGCAAGGCCGTGACAGGGAGTGGTGGCAGCAGTAACAGCATTGGCCTGCAAGGTCTCACAATGGCAACAAGATTCGGCAGCAGAAGCGGTGGTGGCCTGTGGGGACTCGCAGCAGTGACAGGAAGTGACGGCAGTAGTGGCATCCTGCAAGGCCTTGAGTCGGCAACGGAAAGTGGCAGCAATAGTAGTGGCAGCCTGCAAGGCCTTGTGGCGGCACTAGCAGTGGGGCTTGCGAGACCTCGCTGTGGTGGGAAGAAGTGGCCGCAGCCTGCAAGTCCTGGTGGTGGTAGAAGCTGTAGCAGCCTGCTGAGCCCTGCTACTGCTGCCTAGCAGGCCTGCTGGCAGTCCCAGATTATTTGTATTCACTATGACTCATCACCATACTTTGGATAGTCCTGAGTATCACCATTTGGTAGCCAAGCCTAACCCTGAAGTAGTAGCAGTTGCCAGAACATTGTCCTGTTCGCCTCTGCATCGTTCCTTCCTTTTTTCAGATACCATGGTATATCAACATACTGCGATGTTTAGGTGGCGATATATCACAATATTGAAAACCAGTTATCATGCAGCCCTACATATCACAGAGAAAGGCAGAGTAAAGGGAGTAAAGCACATAAAATAACTGTATTTAATTACAATGCTGCTTACAAAAGAGGAGTTTCCATCAGGGTAGATCAGGAATCCCGCACACTGGATTTCACGCCTGCAGTAATTCTCAGAAGATGGAACAGATGTCAAGGCAACTGACCTCACAGCTATTATGTAAGGGTCTCTAAATTTAATAAGAGTAGTGTTATCAACAAGCCACAACAAAAATCTAAGCTGTCTAAAATGCTCTTGTACAGCTACTGTATTGGTCACAAGACAGTAGTTGCTCAGTTTTGTATTTTATGTGCAGGGGGAGGGTTGTTAAAACCTCGTGCCTTAACCCTGCACTGCACGGGAGGTTAATACATTTCTTTGTTTATGTAGCACACAATATAGTAACAAAGTAGTGATATGCAATAATTTATGGTGAGTGGAAGGGGCTGGGGAGAAATAGGAAGATGGCTCTCTCCATCTGCCCCTTCACCCTTACAATGTTTTTCTTCTCTCTGCTTCTACATGCCTTCCACAGTAGGACCCATTGCGAACTCGTTCCCAGAAGCAGTGGCAGACTTTGGGCTTTAAAATTTCAGTGGCGCCCTGTGCAACACCAAATTCATTCCCCCTTGTCTCTTGCCCTCAGTGGCTCATCATTGTTGCAGTGCCCCCTGCGGCAGCCTCTCTGCTTGGTGCCCAGTGTGGGAGAACCAGTCGCACTCCCTTAAATCCACCTCTGCCTGAAAGTATCTAATTGCTACTGCTATTGCTGCAAAGACATTTGCTCTTGGGACTCAGCAACCTGGCAGACAGGCAGCAACAACACCCTGTGTAAACCATCACCATGTAAATAGTTCACTGATCCACCCAATAGTGAAATTTCCCCTTTCAGGAGAATATCTGTGTCCCATCACATAGAAAGTGGGACCAGAGAGATAACAAGCATTTACAGGAACCGTTAATCTAATACCCTCGGGAGAGAATTTTGGTGCTGCAGTACTATGCTAGCAAGCCCCACTGATCAGCTGATTCTCCACGCAGGCAAAAGTGGGTTACTTGACAAACTTGTGACACTTAACCCAGAGATGGAGAGGCCAGTTCTTCACCCCCGGTGTAGGGGGTGTTGCACAAATGGCCTTTCACACATGCACCTTTGCCTTCAGTCTTTACAAAGCAGTTTTTGCTTTGTCCAGAGTTTCTGTGTAATGGAGACACCCCACATTTTGCAAGAAATAATTATTTCATCCAAACTCACAGCATATCATTATTTTTGGGTGTGTGGGTCCTGTTACTTTATTGTAGAAAGCTTGAAATTTACCTGCCGTTAAATGGGCATGCTTTCAACTACTTACCCAGTCTTGCAAGGCTTTCTTTGTGACACGAGAATTAAAAAATCATCTGGTTTATTTCCATTAATTGATATGGATGTAATGTGATATATTTTGTCCTCTTCGGTCACATTCTGGATAACCTTACACGTTCTGTAAGAACATGAGCCATACATTAGTGAAATTTAGTAGCCGAGGTATCATGTAAAACATGAATTAAAGGATATGTTCTTTATAATCTAAATTGTGACTAGGAATGTGCAGCTTTCGTTTCAGATTAAATAACTAACTAAAAAATAATTAAATAACACATGACTTCATTTTTTTCAGTAAAAATTTAAACCAAACAGAATGGCAAAAAGAAGCAACATGGGAAAAGTGATTGCTCACTTCAAGTTCAGCTTAAACCTGCATCTATTAAACTGTATCTAACCAGCTCTGCCTCTTCTTCCTCCCTTGCTCCACTTTCAAGTGCCGTGCTGACAAAACTTTCGAAGATAAAAATAACATGCTTTATTAATGCAGTAAAATGAGAAAGTCAATGTTTACCATTTCTGCCTTACTAATTACATAATTCTTCACCTGTTTCCCAATGCAGCTTGTCTAGGGCTGCAGCCCATTACTTTTCATCATACAACACTATGCAAAATAGGAGCACATTTAATCATTTTGAAATCTAAGAGGTAGGATATATTTGGGCCAGTTCAACACTTTCACTGCTGACAAGGCATATCTTTATTAAAAAGCATATCTTTACAGAACTATTTCCTTGTCCAACTAACATGGTTAAAGTACCTTTTTCTAAAGACAATGGCCACATCTATACTATACATTATAGATCTATGATACCAGTTTAATAGTCATGTCTTCTCCAAAAGAGTTGTTAGGAGATCCCTATTCCCATCACAGGGCAACAATACCCAGAGTTCTCTGGGAAGAGGGACTGAGTGTTAAACCACTCTGAGAATGCCAAGCCATACTTCTCCCTAGTTGTTTTGCTGCTGGCCATGCTGAGATAAACCATGGCTTGGCTTAGCACCATGGTTTCCAATGCGGGGCACACGCCCCACAGGGGGGCAATTCAATTTTTGAGGGGGGGGGAATTCGAGAGTGAGTTATTAAAGTTAATGGCCTTTTAGGCTTCCTCCACATGAACAGGAGTTCACTTTTTGAATAAGAAGAATTATATGTCATGGGGGGGGGGAGATCAGGATTTTAAAGATGCCCAGGTGGGGCATGGCCAAAAAAAGGTTGGGAACCACTGGCTTAGCATGTCATATGAATCCAGGCTCATGCTTTAGCTCTCTCCAGACTATCTATGAGTTGTGACAAACCTTGGCTACAAAAGCTTATAAAAGCCATTGTTTTTTTTACCTGAAACTTCCTCATTGTCCTACTGAATATTACGGAAATCATTTTGACAGATCACTTTGGTCTATGAAGGCAGAATCTACTTCAACCAGGCCATGAGAGTGGATACGGACTTTAAAAGGAAAAAATATATATGCTTACGAATAGTGTTTAACCCAGTGCACATGATGTCTGAAGTCAGATAAGAGGGAGAATGCTAGTTCTGAAGATATCCGCACTTGCATTTCAACCTTGATTGACAAAGCATCTGTCTCTTCAAGAGTAAACATTTTTATCTAAAAAAAAGTATTTTTTTATTATATGGGGAAAGAGAGAGAGAATTATGGATGAAGATTAACGTTGGTAGGTCCTTTAGCTTTTAAAAGCAAATACTCAGGAAAGTATGGGTCATAACTTTAAACAGTATCAGCCATACAACATTATAAAAGTTTCTAGGAGAATCCTGCTTACTTTAATGGAAGAGAACAGTGGTTCCCAATTAGCTATGTGCTGCTGACCCCCCCCCCCCGTTTTTCAAAATCCCATTCATCGACCCCTTACTTTAGAAAATATTGGTATCTCTATGGTAGTTTTTGTTATGTGAATGGTGCCACAGACACCCTTTTACGTGGACCACCAATTGGGAACCACTGGAAGAGAACACTATAAGAGAATATTGCTATAATTTTACAGTGCAATCCTACTCCCTCAATGTTGATGGCTGGAGGGGATGGGGGGCAGGATACTCCATAGGTGGAGAAGCATGTTGCTGGGGGGGGGCTCCTTCACAATGGAAGCCCCAGTGCACCCTGTAGGGTAGGAAACCAGCTGCTGCCAGTAAAAAAGGTAAAGGTAAAGGGACCCCTGACCATTAGGTCCAGTCGTGGCCAACTCTGGGGTTGCGGCGCTCATCTCGCTCTATAGGCTGAGGGAGCCGGGATACAGCTTCTGGGTCATGTGGCCAACATGACTAAGCCACTTCTGGCGAACCAGAGCAGCGCACAGAAACACTGTTTACCTTCCCACCAGAGCAGTACCTGTTTATCTACTTGCACTTTGACATGCTTTCAAACTGCTAGGTTGGCAGGAGCTGGGACCGAGCAACGGGAGCTCACCCCATTGTGGGGATTCGAACCGTCAACCTTCCGATTGGCAAGTCCTAGGCTCTGTGGTTTAACCCACAGTGCCAGCCGCGTCCCAAAATGGACTGTTTTAGCACATGTTGTCGGCAATTTTTGATCAGATATGTTAACTCCAAATCCTCTTGGATCACATAAGAGGCCCAGCTGGAGATGGTGCAGCAATTTTTTAAGGAAAAACGGCCCCCCACCTTCTTCGCTGGCCAGTGTGAGCTAGCAGGGTTTGGGATGTGGTGATCCACTCCGATCCATTTTGCTTTTCGCAGGCTGGGGTTAGGATTGCTATGCCCATTAAGTTTCAGCGACGAACAGAGTGGATATAGCTAGAGATATAAAGAATAAAGGCAAATAGGAGCTAAATTATGCAAGGAAAAGAGACAAACTGGACGTAGGAGCTGTGACAGTAGATTTGATCTATCAGTTTTGCCGTAGGCAGAAGGAGCATAATAGTGGCCGGGTTATAGATATAAGTGGCTCTAGATATGATCATCTGAAGGAATATCTCAAAAATACTTTGACCCATATTAATCTGTCTGATCCTTGAGAAGCCTGTTCTGTGTTGCCCAGACATCTGAAGTATATAGATTGGGCATGACAGACAGGACCTTTCCTCTGGGATAGGCAAAAAAAAGTGCAACATATCTGCCAAAGGAAGCCTGCCTGGCTCTACAACTGCTCACATTTTGACGAGAAATTAAAATGTTTTGTTTGTTTGTTTGTTTGCAACAGGCTTTTTGGGGTACTGTTTCTTCTTTTTTTTAATGACTGCTGGCTTAATTTATACAATGTTCGAAATATTTTTTTAATTGCTTTTTTGCTGCCTTGCTTTTTTTGTATAGTTGCAAGGAAATGCTGAAAGTATTGTTATTATCCATCTACTTGAAGAAGAAAAAATTGGGACTCATGTTTTATATCAATACTGCATACTGTTACTTCCAATTGATTCATAAAAATACTATATAATGTTTATCTACTCCAAGCAGAGGTCAGACATCGGTTATCCAAAAGCACAAATCATTTCAGGTTGGTTTTACTGGGAAACTATCACAACTGAGAATATGTGTTTCTTTCTTAACCGACCAGACTCAAAATCTTCAGAGAAAAAAACACAATGTCACATGAATAGTCACATGATCCATGTGAACAATTTGACATTCAAAGCGTGTCTTCTAGCAGCATACAAATTAGCAGTCATAGAAAGGGGGAGAAGGGAGTTAGTTAAAAATGTACATTTTGATTTTGAAGAGGAAGCAGACAAATAATTTTAACAGTTTTAGAAAATACCTTAACAGCTGCAGCTTTTAAATTGCAGAAGCGTAGAGGACAGTGTCTGAGATAAAATTAATGACATATAATTACTTTGTAGTCTAAAAGGTCTCATTGTATTGGGACTTTCCATTCATATTAATTCTTTGAATTGGTAGGGAAATGTGTGTGTCTCCTGCACAATTGAGTACTTACGTAGTCCAGGCTAGTGCTAATCATTTCCCATCCAGGCTTTGCTGCCAGAACAGTCAGTGCTGTAACATTGCTTTCGATTTTGTCTGCCTAAAACACAAAGCAAGGTAGTAACCAATGAGTGAAAATGTACAAGGCACAGAAATTCCTATAATTTCTGGAATTTGGTTGCAAAACAAATATTTTGTTCTCTCTATCTCCTCTTGAAAAAAACAGTGTCTGAACTGAACCTTTTCAACAGCAGGAGTCTAACTCTCATGATGATCAAGGTCATTCTGTTTAAAAGGAGACTAATTTGCGGCTGTGTACACATGGCATGTGTAAAAAGCATATGCCTTTTCTCAAAGAATTCTGGGAACTGTAGTTGGTTAATTTTGTGAGATTTAAACTACAGTTCCCAGAATTGTATGTGTGTGCTTTAAATGTATTGTGTGTATACAGCTATGTTTCACTGGCCAATTAAACCAAGAGTAGACAGCCTATGGTCCTTGGACTAATTCCCGTGTGGCAAGGAAAGGAAAGATGAGGAGGAAGGGTTGTGGCGGCAGGAAAAAAGAGGGGAAAGGAGTGGTCCGGTCCCACTTAATGCCAGTATATGGCCAAATTTCTGTGACTTGTTATAGGAAATATCCCAGATATTCTCCTATAATTCTGATTATAATTAAATATCAGGAGAAAGTAAACAAAGAAAAATACAATCATCTGACACCCAATTTTTGACATTTAGGGCCTTACACTTAATCCTTAATGTATATTATATATGCAAATATTACTGATGTTACCTGATTGCCTCGGTCCCAGAAATCAAGTGTGCAATTGTTTTCCTGCTTCAAAAGAATATATTTCCTGTAGTTGATACAATGTGGAAAGAAGGCCAAAAGTAAGCTTAGGAAATCCTATGGGGTGAATTCATTGTTGAGCGATTTGATTGTGCTGTCAGCGCAAGCATTTCTGCTTACCACATGGAACCAACCTCCTCCATGTGCTGTTCTGGGGTTTGTCCCAAACCAAACACCTGAACCCCAAGTCAATCAGGAAAACCCTGTTGCACTAACAGGATTCGTTGCACTGGCTCCTACTAGTACAACTGTTTAAAACGTCTTAAAATTCCTCAAGTTATATAAAAATGACAAATCGGTATAGCATTCACTCTTCCAAATATGCTGCGGCTAGAAAATGCTTAATTCTTATAATTTGCAACAATCAGAACTAGGGTTGCCAGGTCCTTGTCTGGAGATTTGCCAGGTGCAGTTAACTAAAATTCAAGGATAACCATTGTGTGGATAACAGAGGGGATGGGAACAGGTTCACATAAACTAGCCCCGCCCTTGAGCTTGTGATGGTTGGCTCTTTTGTACATATAAGCTATAAATGCATAGACTCCACATATGTGATCTGCGTCCTGCAAAACTAGGGTTGTATCTAATTTAATTATACTTGGAATCTTCTTCTTTGGCGATCACTCGTAGCTGAGTAAGATTGTCTTCCATAAACACGGTCTTAACAGTGAGTCCAATTCTGGAGCCATATGTCCTTCCACAGTGGGGGCATAGGTTTCCGGGTTAGAGTTGATCAAGGTGAGGATTTGCTAACCGTGCCATCCTCATAGCACGTTTCTCGCTTTCATCCTGAGTTCAAGCATCTTCAAAGTCCATGTTACAGGTAGGTAGCCGTGTTGGTCTGCTGTAGTTGAAACAAAATTTTAAAATTCCTTCCAGTAGCACCTTAGAGACCAATTAAGTTTGTTATTGGTATGAGCTTTCATGTGCATGCACACTTCTTCAGATACACTGAAACAGAAGTCACCAGACCATGACACCTTTGGTAAAGGCTGTTCTCCAATTAGAACGCCTGCAGACCAATGTTTCCCAATTGTCGGTGTTTATACTACCTTTTTTTAGATTTGCCTTGAGAGAGTCTTTAAACCTCTTTGTTGACCACCAGCATTACGCTTTCCATTTTTAAGTTCAGAATAGAGTAGTTGCTTTGGAAGGCTATAATCAGGCATCTGAAACATGACCAGTCCAACAAAGTTGATGTTGAAGAATCATTGCTTCGACACTGGAGATCTTTGCTTCATCCAGTACACTGACATTAGTTCACCTGTCTTCCCAAGTGATATATAATTTTTTTCCAGAGATGCCATTGATGAAATCTTTTGAGGAGCTGGAGTAGGCATTTTAAGTGGTCCATGTTTCACAAGCATACAGTAAGGTTGGTAGCGCAATAGCTTTGTAAACATGCATTTTGGTTTCCCTGCGAATGTCCCGACCCTCAAACACTCTGCACTTCAGTCAGGAGAAAGCTGCACTTACAGAGCTCAGGCAATGCTGGATTTTGGCATCAGTGTCGGCTCTTGTGGAAAGATAACTGCCTAGGTAGGAGAAGTGATCAACAAATAGACCCATTGGAATTAATGGACTCATATTGGTCATGAGTATGGTTGATGCTGGTTACAACCCTAGTTATCTACAAGAGATTCTTAAATGCTCTAAGGCACTGAGATAGGACACAGGCACTTTACTTCCCAATTTTTCTTTCACCAGCATGGAAAAAGATTACCCAGCATAACACTTAAGGTAGGAGGCAAGAGTTCCACCTGCTACTTTCTGTTCTATTGCCTTGGAACATTAAAGCTGTCATCTCCAGACAAGGTGCAACAATCCTGCTCAAACATCAAATTGTTCATTAAAACAGACTTCTTTACCAGAGCTTATTAAAAGCAACATGTTATGGACATGCATGTCTGGAAAATTTAGGAAAAATCCTAACTATACCCTCATTCCCATAACAATCCCATATGGAGGAAGAGATTCCAGAATCTGTTGTTTCAAAGCTGGATTTATATCACATTACTGTACACCAAAATGATTTTGTGTACAATCTGTGAGGAACGTCTCATGCACTGATGTTTTCTGTTGACGTTTCACAAACCAAACATGATCAGCTCTACAACAGCAGCTGAGAAATAACATCAGCTGTACTGTTAATGGCATTTTAAACATTTATGCTGTCTTTAGGGCTTACTTACTGTACCTGGCTAATCTAATTTTCTTCCGTGCAATAGCTCCATGATATCGCCTTAAACCATCCTTTGCAATGAACAAAGCAAGAAAAAATAATAATTAGTTATAAATTTTACATTGTAGTTTTGCTAATTTTCAGAATAGCGGACAGATTGAATATAATAAGCTTTTTTTAAAGAGCATAACACAGACTTTACTGTGAAGCCAACCATCTAAATAAAATGTGTAAGGTAACTACAATACTGTCTGAAAAGTATAATTTTGGTTTGTCTTAGGATCACAAAACTACCACGAGTCCTTTTACCTGAGACTGGCAGAGTATTTCAGTCCTTGGCTATGAGTTCAATAATCGTCTTCTAGATGAAATATTAATCCAAAGCACTTTAGAATTAGTGCCCCTTATGGGACAAAAATGATTTATATATTTTTCATCTTACAAAACTCAAATAAATATTCACTTCTCCTACTGGTATACTATCCATTTCATAATTTCTAAATTAATAATCTGATTATCTTGTTTATGTACACAGTTGTTTCTCTCCTATTTTTTTAAAGGCTCACCTTTGTAATAGATTTGACTCTCGGGAAGGTAATAAGTTCTCCATCTTCATTTACAGCATTAAAAATTAAAAAGGCACTGTTGATATGCCGAGCTTGGCCTTTGGCCCATTCCTCACAATTGAAGGCCTCAACACGAACTCCAACTTCAATGCTGAAAAAGAAGAGCTTTCAGTTAATTTAGCCGCTGGGGTGCGACAGATGCAGCACTGAATTACAGTATACAGAGAAGCTACAAGCTGTTTTTTTTTTTAAAAGGAGGAAATAAATTATTATATCTGCCATCTTATACAGGTGAGCCTAAGCTCTATTGATCTAAATAGGGCATTTCTGTGCAGACATGCATGGGATTGGACTCCAACCCTATGTATACTTTTATATTTTTTGATCTCTAAAGTACACCAGATGTTAGTTAGGCTCTCACACCAAATGTTATGACATGACATACAACTTCCTATTCTGTGATGAGATTTACTGATTTGCTAGGGTCTGTTACTACTGGGCTAGGATAACACATAATAACTGGTCAAAGGGAATGCGTATGAATAATGGAGCATACATACAAGAAACTACAATCTCCAGTTGTTGTACAATAAACAGAGGGGAAATATCTGAATATGAATTTTTAATACTTATGTTCTTGCTAGTGTTACACAGAATGGTATAATTTCAAACTACCAGGGCTTTTTCCCCCCACTTGGAACTCGCTGGAACTCAGTCTTGGCATCTCTCAGGTGGGTACCATTGCCATTATAAGAGAACAAGTGAGGAGTTTGTGGTGACTTCTGGCACCTATTTTTTCTAGAAAAACAGCACTGCAAACTACATTTTAATTTTTATATTCTTTATGCAAATTGAAACTGAAGCACTTTAGACCACACAGTAGCATTAAGATAGAGACAAGCTTATTACCTTTTCTGAAAAGTATTGTTAACTATAGCATTGAAAACCAGGCGGTCACCAACAGTTGAAGGTCCCCGGAATTTAAACATATCTACAGATTTCAAAGTCGGATGCAGCCTACACAGGCGACTGAAGGAGGAAAAAGGAAAGCAAATTAAAATACATATATTATCATGCTATTTCTTTTCATATCAATGCAACATTTCAGTATTTCTATGCAACAAACTAAGTCTATAAAATGGAAATTCCAAGTTTATAGCTTATACTGGTTTTAATAAAGGTTTGGGAGTAGAAACATTCTCTTCAGTTGGAACTTGAGGCATTTGAGAATTGTGGTTTCCGGTATCTATATCTATTATTTAAAGGGGGGGAGGGGGGACTGTTTGCTTTAGCTCTTTCATACATTAAGTGCTATTTTTCTTCATTCGTTCATTCATTTATTTGATGAATCATTTCCCATGAAACATCTCAAATCGATTTACATAATAATGAGGTATATAAGACAGTTACATATATAAAAACAGTTAAAAACGATTGAGTACAGAAACAATTTCTTTAAAAAATTATAAACACTGGTATTTCTTTGCCTGTTTTGGCAGTCTCTCAATATATTGCTGCCAAACACATTACAGGTGGGGGGATGAGGGTCTGTGCCAATGTTTGGGCACCAGGTGCCATTTTGAATCAAGGAGGCAGACCCAAATGTGACTTTGGTGTGACTGCACCCATTTGGGGGCATGGTCTGGCCACCTCTCAAGGTATTGTTGCTGAACTCTGCGCAAAGGTTCTTGAGGTTGGTATCTTCATTGAAGTTTGGACACTAAGTGCAATTTTGAATCGAAATGGTGAAATGAAACATGACTTTGTAGTGACTTCACTTGATTTTTGATGTGACGGGTCCAAACTCACAAAAAACACTCCATTCCCCCCCCAAAAAAAACAGGTTTTTTTTAGTTTCTAAAACAATCCCAGGGAGTGCTAGGCAAACTAGTCCCTATATATGAAAGGGGAAAAAATTAAGTCCTTGTGTGAGTTTATTTTAACAGCAAAAATATTTTAAAAAGAATTTGCTGAGAATTAGGTATTGTTTTGTTGTGGTGGTGTTGTAGGGCTGAAATTTCTTCCTAACCTTTGCTTAGCTTAGAGATAATACTGTTTTGCACCATTATTTATCTTTAGCCTTAACTCAATTACCCTTTATGATGTACCAGAATTGTTAAGCGTGCACAATTATCTGTTTCTAATTAATTGAATTGTGCATCTTTATAATGCATTCAAATTACTTTGGTTTTCATTAGGAATAATTTGCTCCTCCTATTTAAATTGCTAAATATCTCATTTGCAATACAACAATAAAGATAGAAGCAGATTAATGTCAAGAATGGAGGTGTAAATGTGTAGATGAAGTTTGCAATCTTTTTTCACTGTTAGGTCTAAAAACCTGATATTATTTTGCTAGAAAGGTAAGCCCATATTTTTACAGACATGGTGTACCTGAAAGACCAAATCTCATTCTAGCAGATTTCTGTTGCGTTCAGCATTGACACTGCTTGGTTAGTATGACAGTATTTAAAAGAGGATATATATTTTTAAAAAACCCTGTCTGGGCATATATTCAGTTTGTTCTTTGAGTACTGCTTGCTTTTATAAACCTCATTCTCATTCCTTGTAAGCCTGTGGTCATAGCAACTCTAACTGGCACCTTCAAAGGTCAAATCTAATTGTAAGTTGTTTTACAAAAGCTTTGCAGCAAGGTCAGCTATTTGTCAAGCAAAATAGACAGCTCTCTGTCACTGTTTAGCACTGTTTCTCCTACATTTTGGCTCATCACTTTTAAGTGCAAAAAAGAAATATTTTCAGCGTCTGATGTGTTATTTTGCTGCAGCTAAGCCCCATCTCCATTCTTCTGGACCAGATTTATTGCAGAGTTATTTGGGAGCCATTTATAGATACAGATATATAAATGAGGCTGTGTGCTTACATATAAATGCCGCTCACTTGGGCCATTGGTGTTATGACCGTGTAAAACCTGTGAGAGATTTGCAATTTTAATAAAATGAGCTGTTTATCCAGTTACAAAGGAAAGCCAGTTATTATTGGTATAACTTCAGGTTACAAATCAGAGCTACATGAATAATGAATGGGAATGACACATCCAGCACCCTGGCAATGAATCAGGCCCACTGGTGTGTGAAGGGAATTCTAATAGAAATTCTTGTCTCACACACACAAAGAGAGAGAGAGCTACATGTACCAAGCAACAGGGGGATGATGGAATTCTCTGCGTGATTAGATGAACATTAAACTAGTAGACAAAGAGAGAGAAAGAAAGACAGGCAGAAAGAAACCTTGCATTCCTCACTAGGCCTGCCCAGTAACGTGTAACACGGAAGGATGCTGAATAAAAAAACGGTACCTTGCTGAAATAACGGCCACCGTCTCCATCCAAGCCATAATTTGGCCACCAAATGTATTTCCTTGATGATTGGCATGGGGAGGCAAGACAAGTTCAGTGCTCTGCACATGGGTGAGATCTGTGGAAATTGCACCTTCTTCTTGATTGCAAACTTGTTCTGAAATGTATGAAGTGAATAGCCAAGGATGTTAGTGAAATGACAGACCAGTCCAATTATACTGTGGCTGCCACTGCCCTATGTCTTAGAAATAAAGCAGCTTCACTGAAATCAGCAGCGTGACTACACTTTGTAAGGTATGCATCCCATAAGACAATTCCAAAGGAGTTTATGGCTGTTATGAGAGCATAGAATACAGGTAATGTAGGGCTAGTTGGCTGACCCTGTTCTCTAATACTGTCAGACTAAAATTCATACTATGTCAGCTTATTAGAATCTGAATCATATAAATGTATGTTTTAAAGACAGAATTGGACTACAGGTCTATTTAATACCCATAATTCAACAGGGGAAGGAGGGATCTGTCTTCCAGGGTGAAGAGATCTCTAGCAAAGCAAGATCTTTATATTTCAAAAAATGCCAATCATGCTAATCTGTCACATGATCCCACTTGACCTGAATTAAGTGTTTGGCTTCTGCCCCACTTACATCTGTTTTATAACCCCTGTGTTGTAGCTTGGATTCATCTGAGCGCTTTGCACTTTGGACCTACTTATCAAGTTGTACAATTTGTATTTAGAAGACAAATTCCACCTTGCTTCGTGCACTTTGTAGATGTTTCATGGAAAGCAATCTTAGCACAAGATAATTTAAGACTTTACTTTTTTTGCTCTTTATCACTGTTAAGCCAGTGCTGGCTATGGTAGTGTGTTTTAAGGAGAAAACTGCTTTATGGTGTCACAGTGTGCTGCTGCTTCTTTTTTTAAAAACATGAGCATGTGCCAGTTCCATAGGTTGAAATGTCCTATACTGATTTCATCTGGTCCAGGGTTTTCCAATCTTGGGTCTCCAGCTGCTTTTGGACTACAGTTCCCATCATCTCTGACCACTGTTTCTGCTAGCTAGGTAGGATGGGAGTTGTAGTCCCAAAACAGCTGGAGACCCAAGTTTGGGTGCCCCTGATCTAGCCTAAGATATTTGCTAAAACTATGCATCCTGCCCAAAAGGACTTTGTAAGTTTTAAAGGTTATGAGTGCAAAACATTTTCCAACATGGATAGTTTAAGTTTATGGAAACAACACTGCAGTATAGGCAGCCACGTTAGTCCATTAGCAAATTAGCATAATACCAAATGGACTCACCATTTATGCATTTGTGCCACACCCACCTCCCTGCTGCCCTACACCTCCTGCTACTAGTAAACAACAGTGACCCATGCACTGGGACGCTAGTGTTGCAGATCTACCCCACCTTCTGACCAAAGTGAGGGGGCAGATGGTAGGGGAGGGGTATGAACAACAGAAGCAGACTGAGAATACACACAAACAAAAATGTGCATATGAGTGATGAACTCAAGGCACTTTGTATGCGTAGCAAACTTTTATGGGGATCTAATGTGGAACAGGAGATCTGTATGCCTCTACTTTGTACTCTATTTGTCAATAAACCAAATATAAAATACCTTAAGTTTCCAGAGATAGGAAACTCCATAGGAACCCAATTTGGATAATGCTTCCATGAAACTCCTCACCACTTGGAAATGGGAAGCACACAGCAATGTGTCCGTTTTAGCTGTCCCCCATGTCATTATCTTCTAGGATCAAATTTAAGACATACTTGTTTGTTCCATTGGCACATAGCTGGACTGGTGTTCAATAGTCCAAGTGTTGCAGTTTGCTGCACTGTGTTTCATTGCTGATATTGGTTTGAATTATATGGTTTCAATTATATTTTATGCTGACCTTATTTTAATGGGTATTGTAAGGCCCCCTGGATACCTATGGGAGGAAGGGTAGGATACAAGAATAATAATAAGTTATAATGACTGACCACTATTCATGCCACATTCTTCCACCAGGTTCTTACAGACGCGTTCATGATCCAGTCGGATTTTTCTTCTCTCAGCAGCCAGGGTGTGCTCAAGAAAATCCTGTGCAGTGACGAACTCCACTGGTTTTAAATCAACCTGAACAAATTAAGATTTTTTAAAAAGGATTGTAAAAGTAAATTCTACTTTTATTTTATTTTATTTTATTATTTTGTTACCTACCCTTTACCCTAAGTTCTCAGGGTGGGTTATTTACAAGTGAAAATACAGCATTAAAAGCAGTTTTAAGCTTACAATAAAAATGCAACAACAAACAACAGTGTGGGTCCTGAAAATATCCTGAAAATACAGTATACATTTCAGTTGTCAAAGCCCTGGGTAAAAAGGTGCGTCTTCATTATCTGAACAACAGCAAAGTCTCCACCTCATTCTGCCACTTTTGTAATAAGCTGCATTAATAATTGGTAAGAAGAGATAACATAGCAACAGTATCTTGACATGCATTTGCTCACATTCTGGATTTACCAAATGTTGGTTATTTATTTACACACTGGCGGAGGAAGAGGAGTGGGGGGGGAGCGCACTGTTCCCGGCAGCGCGATCCCGGTGGGGTGCCATCATGGCTGTGCCCCGCCTGCACTGGGCGCCATGCCCCCGCAGGTGGCGGGCCACGCCCCCAGGACGTGCGCCAGCCCCGCTCCCACCTGCTCTCCGTCCCCCGGTGCCAGAGTATTTACACACACAGATACACACATCTTAAAATCAACCTAAGCTAAAATTTGTCTCAGAAAACAGAACTAGAAATGCAATGCGTAGCAGGCACTGAATGCAATGAAATTGTGGCACTTCCCCTTAGCTAGCCCACGGTCAAATTACCGCAGTAAAAGCTTCTGATGCATGGTTGCCCACTACAATTCTTCAGCGGTGCTACTACTCTGCTGTCAGACAAACAATATTAGTACAAATTATGTAAGGGTAAGCTGCCATGAACACCACAATTTGGTTTACAGACCATTCTGGAATCCATGTAAACTAAGGGCCATTTTTGAACGAAATATATCACCTTGCCATTATGTACTGGTTTTGCCACGTATGTAGAGAAAGCCACACAAATCAGTTTTTGGAAAGTGGTAAGAGGATCTTGCAAAGTAACTTTGACACCAACCTACATGCAAATGGAAACAACAACACCAGATTACTAGGAGTTATATAATTTAGAACTGGTTTATGTAATAATACTAGCACTCCCTTCATCTTAATAAAGAGCTGAGCTCACCAACTGGTTTCATAATTATGTTATTATCTCCATTGCTTCCCAAGTGTCTTAACAGTACAATCCTATGTTACATCTACTACTACTAATAATAATAATAAATTTATTATTTATACCCCACCCATCTGGCTGAGTTTCCCCAGCCACTCTGGGTGGCTTGGCTCCCAACAGAATATTCAAAACACAATAAAACATCAAACATTAAAAACTTCCCTAAACAGGGCTGCCTTCAGAGGTCTTCTAAAAGTCAGATAGTTGTTTACTTCCTTGACATCTGACAGGAGGGCATTCCGCAGGGCGGGTGCCACTACTGAGACGGCCCTCTGCCTGGTTCCCTGTAACCTCACTTCTCACAGTGAGGGAACCGCCAGAAGGCCCTCAGAGCTGGACCTCAGTGTCCAGACTGAATGATGGGGGTCGAGACACTCCTTCAGGTAAACTGGAGTTCAGTTTGGATGCTCAGAGATGCCGACTGAGTTCAGCGCGACCTATTCTCTGCTAAGTGCGTGCAGTACTGTAAACCTAAGTAGAAGTGCTGATTCTATAAAATGTTGATTGGTGGCTAATTTTAAAGGGGGTGGGGTGCTGAAAGGAGGGAGGAAACACTTGGGCCATTTTCAGCCAATATTTACTGATTTATTAAATTTATGTAGTGCCTTGCCTCCAAGGAGCTCAAGAAGAATACAGTACATGGTTCTCCAGATTCTCACAGCATCCTGTGAGGTTGGTTAGACTGAGACTGGTGCAAGGTCTTCCAGCAAGCTTTGAATTGACTGAGGATTTGAATCAAGGTCTCTTCAGTCCTAGTCCAACCCTCTAAGCATTACACCACACTGGCGCTCTTTATAGCTTTTATAGTCTTTGCCGTGCATGACTAAACCTCATAAAGACTAATATAGACTTGAGGGCACATTTTGAACTGATAAGCCTGCAGATGTTCTGTATTTATGAACTTTTTCATTCAGTTTCAATGCTCAACTCTTTAACAAACTGTTGGAACAAAATGTTTTGAGTGAAAAGAATGTAAACATTTAAAAATTTGCAGTGTACTGTGGCAGATACTGGTTCACTTGAAAGAGAAGCCAGAGGTAGTTCTGCATAAAGAGTACAAGTGTTTGGTGACCACAAAAGTTGTCAGAGAGCCTATTTTGCGAGAGTGGATCTACTGAAACAGTACCATGGACATAGCCTCTGAGAAAGTCAATAGCTCTGGGCAGCTAAGCGGCCCTGGGGTATGTTTTGGACCTGTAACCCGGGGGTAGAAGACAAGAGTCATGTTGTGGCAATAAATGATTATGAAATTTAGAGGAGATAAAAACTAGTGAGAGAGATTTGAGTCCCCACTAAAGACATCCTATTGGCGATGGCCACTTACTTAACATGAATTCATTCTTTCATTTGTTTCATTCTGCCTATATAACACCATATATAATCTCAGCTTAAAAACACACCAAGACAAACAAATGCAGTCTCTTACCTCCATACTCGTAGTGAATGCCCGGTTTACCTTAGCATTAATGCTGATAATCTGTCCGACTCTATTAACAGAAAAAAGCACCATAATCTCATTATACAAAAACAGAATATTATAAGCTGTTCCAGGCCTTTACTGGCCCTGATCTAGCAATGGCAACATGACACTGCTGGCTAATGCATGGCCAGCCAGCAATACCAGAGGGAGAGAGGGGTACTGGCAGAAATAAAGCATTTTGGCTCCGCAGGGCAATGGCAAGGAAGGTGACTTGCTGCTTGGTCAGCCTCTGCCCACTGCCCACAGGCAAGCTGCTGAAGACTTATCATAGAACCATAAGGTAAAGGTAAAGGGACCCCTGACCATTAGGTCCAGTCGTGGCCAACTCTGGGGTTGCGGCACTCATCTCGCTTTATTGGCCGAGGGAGCCGGCGTACAGCTTCCGGGTCATGTGGCCAGCATGACTAAGCCCCTTCTGGCAAACCAGAGCAGCGCACAGAAACGCCGTTTACCTTCCCGCCAGAGCAGTACCTATTTATCTACTTGCACTTTGACGTGCTTTCGAACTGCTAGGTTGGCAGGAGCAGGGACCAAACAAAGGGAGCTCACCCCGTCGCAGGGATTTGAACCGCCAACCTTCTGATCGGCAAGCCCTAGGCTCTGTGGTTTAACCCACAGCGCCACCTGCGTCCCTTCATAGAACCATAGAATTGTAGAATTGGAAGGGTCCCCAAGAATCATCTAGTCCAACTCCCCCCTGTAATGCAGGATTCTCAGCTAAAGCATCCATGACAAATGGCCACCCAGCCTCTGCTTAAAAAATCTCCAAGGAAGGAGAGAGCATAACCTGGTTTGGACTTTAAAGTGAAAGCGGAGCTACAAATTGTGAAGGGGTTCTTCCTCTAGAAGCGATTGCAATGCAGGCTGAGGCTGTTCTGCTATTTCCAAGGAGCGAGGACAGAAAGAGTAGCAGGTCTTAATTAGAGCCTAGTTTCAGCATGGTATATAACCCTGGACCTGGAATCTGGTTTTCATTGCCAGGATCCACACATGTGAAGTACCGACAAAGAAAGGCTATCTCAGCCTTGGATCAGGCACTCTCACTGACTGCAAATGGTAACAGGAAATTCCATTAGGTATGTGCTGGCCAATGAGAAGTTGAACATTCTGTCCTTCCTCTGCACCTAGCATGGAAACCGAGTGAGCTGTCCTGCTCTGGTTTGCTGTAGGAGGGACAGGACTCTCTGTTCCTCCTCTAGCAGCACTTCATCATGCTAGCAGAATTTTTTGCAGCTTAGAAACTTTTATGGACATAAAAACATAAGAAGAGCCTGCCGGGTCAGGTCCATGGCCCATCTAGTCCAGTATCCTGATGCATATGGGAACCAGCAAGCAGGGCACAAACACAAGAGAGCCCTCCCCTCTTGCAGTTTCTCCACAAACAGCATTCAGAAGCATCACTGGCTCCAACTCTGCAGGGAGAGCAGAACCGTCATGGTTAGTAGCCTCCTCTTCCATTAGTTTACCTAATCCTCTTTTAAAGCTATCTGTTGCTGGCCATCACTGTGGCCACTTTTAACTATGCACTGCCTAAAGAGGTGCTTTCATTTATCTTATTTTGCAAGGCTGGGGCCACTTCCACACATTATGTTGCTGGTGCTACTTGGAGCCAAAACCACACGGTTGCTTTTCTTTTTGTTAGTCCCTTAGGAGCATAAGAAGCTATCTTAGACCAGGTAAAAGTATTTATTTTGTCCATTATTGTCTACTTTACCTAGCAGTGGTTCTATAGGGCTTCAGGTAGAGGTCTTTCATATCACTTGCTACCCATTTCTTTTAATTGGCATGGGGCCAAACATGCTATCACCTCACCTTGATTTTCGTACAACTATGTGGTTCTGGCTTACTATTATATTTATGTCAGGGAAACCCTTTATTTTCAGAGTATCTCCCTGAAATGCTTAGAATCTAATCTCGTTCTCCAGAACCCAGAACTCCTGAAGGCTGGCGTGTGAACACTATCTAAACATTCTTTAAAAAGTCATTGTAAGGCCAGGGGCATCCCATCTATGGTTAATAATTCTGTTTATATATATATAGGAAGTTCTGTTGTCACTGTTGAAAAGTACCCCGAAAGCCACTTGCTCTGAACAGAGGCTCTGGGAATTGGAATTCAGGGAACATTGCAGTGTCACAGACCATTGCATTCTCATTTGTAACTGATGGGGACCTTTTGAAGTGTAGCAGGCTGAATGCTCTCAGTAAGGGTACACAAAGAAAATGCAGAAAGAGAAGAAATCTAAACTACAAACTTATGTAAAATAGACACTGCTGATGAATTCACACGGTATACAAACACAAACAACAATGTTTGTTCTTTAATGGGAGGGAGCTGTTTTCCCTGTAGGCAGGTTAGGTGAGGGGGACCATATATACGGTAAGTAGCAGATTTTACTCATACAGGATGGATATTCAAAATTCTAACCATCTCAAAGACTAAGCAAGGAGCATAAAAACCTGGAACAGTTACAGTTTGTCTATGCAGGGAGGAGAGATACCTAAACCAGCTTGGGGGGCATTTGCAGGGAGAATTGGCGGGGAGGGAAGAGTTAAGGTTTCTCTTGCCTCCCAATTCTCCCCAGTGATTGCCTTTCTGCCATCACATTCATCTTACAACAGAAACATGGGGTTGGGCACCTCCTATTTCTCTTTTGATTACTTGTCTTTGGTGCTTTAGGAGTTGACAGGCCAAAACATAGTTGTAGGAGTAATAATTATTATAACTACTACTACTACTACTACTACTACTACTACTACTATTCTGATTTGGAGTGCAAGAGCTGAAGGAATAAGATGCATTGCTCTTAATTTGTTGTGCAAAAATCACATTGTTACAAGTAACTTTCTCCCATACTTCAGGAGTAGCCAACATGGCACACTCCGGATATTGTTGGAGTCCAACTCAAAGCCAGCAGAGCCACCGGTCAGGAATTATGGGAGTTGGAATCCAACAACACGTAGAGGCACCATGTTGGCTACCACTTCTATATTCCTTGTGGATTAAAGAAACACAGCTAATTTTTTTGGAAATGGGAATGTAGAAGACTTGGAGACATCTTGTTTTCAGCTTAGGAACAACATACAGTCCAAGCATATCCCAGAAATAAGCTCCACTGCATTCCACAGGACTTGGGTTGCTTGTTTATTCAGCATCCAGTACACTCCTCCATCTTGTCATTTCTTCTGAAATACTGTGTTTTGAGGCTTCCCTACCCCAATACCAGCTTGAATTGAGAAAAAGAATGACCTAGCTGCATTTTAAGCCACTAATGAGTACACACGAATCTCAATAGGGGAGGAGCATAATATTAAATATCCATGTGAAAAGTGATTCACGCAACACTATAACTGGGGCATCACTGTAGATATATTATTGTTTCTTCATACCAGAGGTAACTGATGCAGTATGACCTTGCTGTTCATGGATATGGCACCTAACTATGTATTTGTGCTCACAAAGTTGTGCCATTTAGTAAATACTGCATGAACCCATCAGGCCTTGCTCCTCAGGAAAACACAACTTGTAGTCTAAAATCCCACAGAAGTTAATAATTGCATTTGCCATCATTCCGTACTTTTACAACACAGCAGAAAGAAATGTTATCTTAGTTTTCAAAATTAATGAACATTAACATTAATTATAAATGCTTTTAAAGTTAATTAACACTCAGGTGGAAGGTTAACTTCATAAAACTGCCAGACTTCTCCCACATTAACAATCGAGACAAACAGTTGACTGGCCAAAATTGCTCGCTACTAGCTTCAGAAGGGAAACCCTCCCCCTTATTTCTGGAAGTTAAAAGCAAAATATATTTATTAAGTTGCATGCACTTTTATGAATCCATTAAATGCATAATCTTTGAAAATGGGGGGGGTGCCAATTTATGACTTCTTACGCATGAATGCCACTCATTGTCATATCAAGAAAAACATTGTAAGATTTTTTTTTAAGTGGTTTCCTTTCTCAGTAAATGGTTGTATTTGTAGACGTGTATCCCTAGCAGGCACTCCTATCTGAACTCCCCGCCCCCCAAGTCACACACCCCTATCCTTGGCCCCTCCCCCATGCCCTCCTTGAGTGTTTTTGTCTCCATGTTTATTTGAACTATGATCATAATACTTGCTTAGCTGAATGCAGAATTGAGGGTGTGTGTGTATGTTGGATTTCAACATGACTGGAATGTAACCTACTGTACAAAGGTAAGAGCCTCATACATTCCTCCACCTCCTTCTGCATCTGGCCCTCTTCCACTATTGTCATGAGGCCCCATGACAGAACATGGTCCTCATGCTGAGAGATGCTGCCCACCCTTAAGAGAATCATCTCCTATGTTCACTGAACCAATTTTTAATGTTCTGGTTAATCTCTGTTACACAGAAAATAAAGGAAGGCTGTGAAAAGTGCTGATAATAACTATTTGAAGGTATACCTGGCAGTCTCTTCAAACTGAATGTCATCCACCGATGCTGTCACACAGGGCATGCCGGCGTGTTTCTCAGCTTGGAAGAAAAGGCAAATATAAACATGTAAGCAATTATACGTTTTCTCTCAACATGCCTTTGCCCTTAAGCATGGTTAATTTGGTTGTCTTCTAAGGGCCACTTTACACATATGATGCTTTCCTTCCAAAGATGCACAATGTCAATCATAGAATTGTAGAGCTGGAAGGGACTCCCAGATGGTCATTCAACCTCTGCTTAAAAACATCCAAGGAACGAGAGTCCACCACCTCCCTAAGGAGTCTGTTCCAATCTCCTTTCTTGTAGCTTGAATCCATTCAGTTCCTACCCTTCGGAGCAGGAGAAACCAAGCTTGTTCCATCCTCCATGTCACAGTCCTTTAGCTATTTGAATATGGCTATCCTTTCTCCTCTCAGCTTCCTCTTTACCAGGCTAAATGTACCCAAATCCCTCAAGCATTCCTTATAAGGCTTGGTTTCCAGAACCCTTGATCATCTTGGTTGCCCTCCTCTGCACACATTCCAGCTTGTCAACATCCTTCTTAAATTGTAGTGTCCAGAACTGGACACAGTGCTCCAGGTGTGGTCTGACCAAAACAGAATAGAGCGGTACTATTACTTCCCTTCATCGGGACACTATACTTCTATTGATGCAGCCTAGAATAGCATTTGCTTTTTTTGTTGTTGCTGCATCACACTGGTGACTCACATTATGCTTGTGGTCCATTAAGTCCGCTAGATCCTTTTCACATGTACTACTGGCAATCCAAGTGTCCTCCATCTTACATTTGTGCTTCTGGTTCTTCCTGCCTAAGTGCAGAACCTTGCATTTGTCCCTATTGAAATTCATCCTCTTAGTTGGGCCCAGTTAAGGTCATATTGAATCCCAATTTTGTCTTCTGTGGCACTGGCTACCTCATCCGGTTTTGTTATCCTGCATCTATTTTATCACATTTACCAGTTACAACTGCAGCTTCCCAACAAGCATACATGTTCTCCCCCCCCTCCCCAAATCTATAAATTCTATTCATTTGTTAAGATTTATAGATAGCTTCATGACAACACTCTCTAAGTGGCTTACATAGCAAGATTATCAATAAAACACAACTGAAGTCCACAAAACTGTTTTCTTAAAAATTATACCTAAAGAAATTAGTCCAGCAGCCCAAGTACTGTGGTCAACCGGAGGCCTGTGGGAAGCCCACAAGCAGCTCCTGAATGCAACAGCACCCTCCCCACTTGTGATTCCTTGCAAATGATATTCAGAGGCAGCATATGCCTCCGACAACTGAAGTAGATAGAACACTGTCATGATCTTTAATAGCCAGAGAGCCAGAATTTGTCTAATCATCTTTTAAAGCCAATAAGAACACGAAACTGGGCCACCTGTGAACTAGATATAAGGGTACTGGTGAGATAGCGCTTGAAATAATTTACAGCCTCTTGAGTAATGCTTAACTTCCGAAGGAAAAGATGGCAAACTTTTCCCCCCTATTTATCTTTTAACATTTGTTCCTCCAAGGAGTTTAGGATATTTATAGAATTTTCTCCATTTCATCCTCATAATAACCCTGTGAGGTTCATCAGGGTAGCCAGGCTTCAGATTTCTCAGAAGTTCATTTTTAATTATTTGAACCCTAAGATCTACCAGGTAGAGTCAGGTGCAAAAGACATGCAGGATGCCTCTGAGCCTAGGGATTTGTTTTCAGTATCAGGACTGAACTCAGGTCACATCCACACCATACATTTTAAGCACATGGCTTCTTCCCCCAAGAATTCTGGAAGTTGTAGTTTGCTAATTCGAACTGTAGCACTCTCCGTGGGGAACAGGCAGTACAGATGCTAATCCTGCATTGGGTTACCCAATATACAGCACCTGCACCATCTCTCGTTTTTAGCCAGCTCACTTTCAATACTCCCCACTTTCTCCCATGGGTGTCTCAGATTCAAATAGCCTTTTCTGTTACACACACTCTCTGGCACAACAGTGGTATCGGATCAAACCTCACTGGCAAACTGGTCATTCAGGAAAACATTTCCAGTCCTATGTTACACCGAGAGAACACCAACCAATCATTCCTGACTATTAGCAAGCAATTGGCTTAACTAAGGAATGTCATCCAACAACTGTAACCATATACTAATCTTCATGGAGAGAGAAACTGACCTGGTGGATTGAGTGCATGTGTTCAGTAGCTGTCTTGTGCAAGTTCAGAGAAAAGAGTACAGGCAAATGCAGGATGCAGAACATGGGTTTCTGTTAAATGCTGTTTAATTCTATTGCTGACATTGTATACAAATGTGTGAAAAATATGGCCTGCTCACTGTGGTGCCCATAGCCACAATAGCAGTCTTGAGAACTTTTCCTGGTGCCCAAGAAGCCCCTGAGTATTCTTTCTGGATCCTCAAAACAACCAACAATTCAAAAGTCACCTCTCTATCTACAGAGGGTGTTCTGTGATTTGTTCTGTGGGTTGTTGCCATCTTTAATAAAAATTATGAAGATCCTTTAGGATCTCTGCCGTGTGTGTGTGTGTGTGTTGGCAAGCACTGGATCTGTGCTGTTGGATGTGAAATATACCACTGTAAGGTTGGGGGGGGGGTCTTTGTAAAATCATACAAGTTCTAGAGAATGCATTTTAATTCTACTGCTTCCAACTTTTGTCCAGAGGCCATAAAGGTGTGCGCACACACACGCGCACACAGATTCTCTTTTTTGTCTTTTGTGGGGAATGGCCCAGGGCAGAAAACCTACTTGAAGGGTGGTGCACGTAGCACTCTCTCAAAATTCCAAATTTGTCCATGGTGACCCCCTAGCTTAATAACTCTTTCCTACCTCATAGGAGAGTTGTGACAAAAAAGATAAAATCATTCAGTAACTGGGGTTATATAAAAGAGAATAATGGACCTGTTTTAATTTTTAAAGCTGTGAAATCCCTAAATTCTTTACCGACAAAATGAGTATTGTAAGTAAGCTAGTTTGTATTACAAATGCTCCAGTATACCTCACAGCCTTATTGAAGGAAGAAAAAACCTCTGGAAGTTGCAAGTGCCAGCATAATAATCATATAATTCTAGAATGATGCCATACTGAGAGAGAGAGAAATAAAACTTTACTAATATTTTTGTGCTTCTTAGTATCTGCTAACGAGCACAACTGGATTTATGCTGGCACTATGCAATCCTAAACCCACCCACCTGGAAGTAAGCCTCCATGAATTCAATAGGACTTACCTCTGAGTAGATATACTTAGGATTGCAGTGTAAGGAGCTGCCAGCACCATTCTACCCATGTCTCCTCAAAATAAGTCCCATTGAGTTCAACAGGGTTTCCTCCCTGGCCTTACCTGACACTGCAAATCCTCTCTTCCCAAACTGAGGATACTGTGCAAAGGAGGTAGTTACAGCATCATGAAGATGAGGATTGGGCTTGCTGTCTCTTATTACTTGCGAGACAAGTAAAAAAATCCATCGTTTGCGCCCTATCTCCACCTGTTAAGTGGATAAGAGCTGCACCAGTCGACTTTCTGCCTGTGCCATGCAACTCTTAGAAGGCCTAGAAGAGGTGGTGAACAGCCAGGCACCGTCGCTATCTTGGATCTCGCCAGAGACGAGGGGGCCAGAAGTACCCGCTGTGCGCGTCCTGGTGGGTGGGAGAAGGGGGCGCTCGCGCTTACCCGCCAGGCAGGCCGTGGTGTCGATCCATTTGAGCAGCTGCCCCGCGCCCAACTCCCCGCGGTAGTTCGTGTGCGCGGGAAAGATGGTCTGGCACATGTGCACTTGCGCGGCCGCCATGAAGCCCGCGGTGCTGCCTCCTCTTGCGCCTCGCTCGCTCGCGTCTGTGGCGGCGCCTGCAGATCCAGCTGGGACTTTCGCATGCCCGCCCGCGCGCCCTGCTTCCCGCTGCCGGGCTAATGTGTAATTAGGCGCAAGGCTCGCTTTCCTGGGCGTCGAAGGGAAACTGGCGGTGCCCTTATTTTGGCGGCGAACCAGCTCCCTCCTTCGGCCCACGCGGGGCAGCTTCCTCGAAGTTGCTTAGTAGATAAGGAACGAGCGGACCTCACCTTCTCGCCCTCGCCGGGTTGCTGCGTGCTTCCCGTCCTTTCTGCCTTCTTCTAGCTGCTACGGGAAATAAAACTTAAACGCGTGCGATAATAACAAAAGGCGCCAGTTTGAGATATCATGCATTATTAAAACTCAGCTCGCGGGAGACACCGATTAAGGCAGTGGGTCGGACCAGAAAGTGGGCATGTTGAGCAGGCGTTGCGCAGCGCGAGAGCCGACCTCCATAAAAGGGTTAAGGGGTCGCCCTTTGTCACAAGCGACCATTATCTTTCCTCAGCCTTAAACGGATATAATCAGTCGTCTTGCTAAGCAGTTTCACGCTGAAACTTCTCTGTCAGGGAGAATGGCAGCAGTGGAGGCCTCTGGGAAATCGAAATGACCCTTTGATTAGGGGGTTGCATATTTCACAAGTTCTCAACAGTTGAGTTGCTGGGTTGTTGTTTTTAATCTATTACCTTTGCAAAAACTACGTATCAAAAGGAATGAAGGAAGTGAACCTCCAATTGCACAATAATTTTAAAATTATTATTTGAGCCCATCACATTATTATTGGAGCCCAGGCTTGACCCCACCAACACCATCCTCAAATAAGAATTCTGCTGAAATCACGTTCTGTCCAGTCACCCCCCCCCTTTTTCTGCAATTGGTTGCCTTCCCATTTTTTCTAATTGTAAATTTAATGCTATACCTGCTGGGGATCCATGCAGGGTCAGCCCACCCATGAGGCCAGGTGAGGAAACTGCTTCAGGCGGCAGGATCTACAGGGGCAGCAAATCACAATGTAGATCTTTCCCCCCACCCCACTTGTTCCTGATGTAAAACGGATTGCCTCTGCATCCATACTTACTGAAGAATAAATGGCATCATTTTTTTAAAAAAAAGTTTTATTTGCCAGATCTCTGTGCAAAGTAAATTAGAAGAACAGGCTTATACTAAGGGAACACTGGTCTGCAGAGTTGGGAAAAGTTGAGACGGTTAAGCTGACAGGTGTCTTGCCTAGAGGTTCCCCATATGACATCTTGTGGTAGTATCTGGGAAGTACAACTTTTTCAACAGTAAGGAGGCAATAAGATGATGGGGCAGGTGGGTGAGGGGTTACAAAATTCTCATGGAGATCTAGCAAATTCACATTTCAGCCTCTCTGGGATTTTTCTCACAGGTAGCTGTGTATTATATAGCATTTACTGCCTCATTTGTCCTTGGGTCTTCCAACAGCATGTAGAGGATTTAATAGGAAGAACCTGCAATGTCAAAGCTATGAGGAAAGTAAATAAATTGAATTGCTCAGTAGTTGTGCTTTATACCTGGTGGAAAAAGGAGGTGTCAGATTCAGGGCCATAGCTAGGGGGTGGTGAGGTGGGCCCCCATCAGGGGCGCAGGCGAGGGGGTGTGTGTGCAAAATCGGCTAAAAATATGTCCATAAATATAAATATTGATTATTGCCTCCGAAGAAATGGTTTTAAATAGAGGGTGAATTGAATGGGGGGGGGTCAGAGGAGAGACAGAAAGAAGAGCTAATTTGTCCGTGGCTAGGGGGCGCAATCTGGATGGTTCTGCCAGGGGTGCAAGGTCACCTAGCTATGGCTTGGTCAGATTGGAGACTTTTCTGAAGGGAGTGGATTCAGACTCAAAAAGATATAGGGAACAAAGCTAGAGTGTTTGAATCTGGATGACATGGCTATGCTGACCTTACAAGTGGAAATCATGGCATGTAAGCTTACAGTGGAATTACAGAGCCTAAGTGATTCTTGCATTACGATCCAGTGTGAACCAGTCTTACAAGCAGGGTGTAAACAGCTCCACAGGAAGAATGTGAGGTAGGGGCTGAGAAATAAGCGGTGCCATGGCAACAGGGTTGCATCTTATAAAAGAATATGGTGGTGTATCTTTTAAAATTATATGAGTAGGTGGGATAAAAAAATAATCCCAGCCAGAGTAGCAGGAAAAGGAAGGTAAACCTCATTCTCCAAAGACCAAGCTAACCACATGTCTGTTGCTGTTACTACTTGATGCTTTTAATGTTTTGTGGTATTATAAATTATTTATACTATCAGCATAACATTCTTTTTTGAGTGTTCCTATATTTTAATATGTATGTATTCTCTTGTCCTGGGGCCTTTGGGTGAAGGGCAAATTATTTGTTAAATAAAAATAAGTAGGATTTATTGGGGGGGGGTCTAACAACCCTTTCCCCCCATAGTTTACAGCCATACAAATTCTAATTCCCCTCCCCCTCGGTGTCCTGTTCAACAGAATAAACACCTTATTGTCCCTAGGATTTTTCTCAGACTCACTTCTTTTTTCTACTCTGTTACTCAGTCACCCGTATAATTTTCTCAAGGGAGCTGCTTCTTAGCTGCCTGTCTTGCTTCTTTCTGGTTCCCAGCCATCCTTCTTGACTGTCCATCATCTTTGCCTTTCCATTCACTCCCTTCCTGCCAGAAACATACTGTTGCACACCACCCCAATCTCAGAGTGGTGCAAGATTCCAGGGAGTGAGGCAGAGTGGTGTCCCACACGTTACATGGTTTATTTACACACATATACAACCTGAGCCTGCGGTGGAGGGTTTTGCAGAATTAACACCCCAAAAGGGTATTGTTCACCCCATAGACACAACCTTGTTATTCCAGCAGAAATCAGCCTTGGCTTGCTCTCTCTCTGCCTTTCCATCCTTTCTGCTTTTTGCATCCAGCTTCTAGCTCACACAACACAACTCTCAACTCTGGCCTTTTGTCTTTCGGTTTAACAGAGTTGGGGAACGGAGGCCCACCTGTTTAACCTCTGGCACAGAGCCACTGCTTTGTTTTCCTTAATGGCCCATTACTCACATTGGCCTGGCTATTCCAGCACTTGAATCCACGCTGGATCCAGGAATTAGAAGTAAGACATTCAGCCAACTCCATCCCACAAAAACTGATCACATAACACACTTCCTGCAAGCTTCTTATACAACCTCCTTTTTCTCAAGGGGCTTATCTCCACCTTCTCTTCCCTGAGATTTCAACTTCTTTGCCTTCTGCCCAGCCATCTTGCTTCCTCTTGAGGTATGTATACATACATACATACATACATACATATTATTATTATTATTATTATTATTATTATTATTATTATTATTTGTATCCCGCCCATCTGGCTGGGTTTCCCCAGCCACTCTGGGCGGCTTCCACAAAGACCAAAAATACACTAAGATGTCACACATACATACATACGTACCTACATACATAATTTCATTTGTATGCCGCTTTTCCAAAGTTCAAACCACGCTCAAAGTAGCTTACAACATGAAAAGCTATGCAACTACATAACAAAAGTAGTTATAAACAATAAATAAAACATTTAAAAATACACAACCCACCTGAACAGTTTCTACACCAATCACAAAATATATAAATGTGCAAAAAAAACAGCAATAGCAACGAACCTCCCAACAACACCCCAGTTGCAATCCTAACCCCATTTACCTGGGAGCAAGCCCTATTTAAGTCAATAGGATTTACTTCTGACAAGCTATAGTAAGGATTTTTAGTCCTCAGTCTTTCTACTCACCTGCACACATCTTCTTGTCTCTAGGGACATGTTTGAGCTTTGAATTCTGGTCAACCTGACCTTCTACTTCCAGGAGAGAAGCTGGACAGTAATGAAACATTCTGTTGTTCAGTTTGAGCTCCACAGCAAGAAGAATGTTTGTTACTGTATATCGGAGCTTCTGCTAAGCCTTGCCAGAAGATTTGGTATTTTAAAATATCAATGTTCTTTGGGTTACAATGTATGTCTTCTATGCAAAATTTGGTCTTAAGGTAAAGCTAAAGGTACCCCTGCCCGTACGGGCCAGTCTTGACAGACTCTAGGGTTGTGCGCCCATCTCACTCAAGAGGCCGGGGGCCAGCACTGTCCGGAGACACTTCCGGGTCACGTAGCCAGCATGACATCGCTGCTCTGGCGAGCCAGAGCCGCACACGGAAACGCCGTTTACCTTCCCGCTAGTAAGCGGTCCCTATTTATCTACTTGCACCCGGGGGTGCTTTCGAACTGCTAGGTTGGCAGGCGCTGGGACCGAGCAACGGGAGCGCACCCCGCCGCGGGGATTCGAACCGCCGACCTTTCGATCGGCAAGCCCTAGGCGCTGAGGCTTTTACCCACAGCGCCACCCGCAGTCTTAGTCGTATTTAAAAGCTGTTTTGAGTGGTTTTGTAGTTGGACTATGGTCTATACATTTCTGACCTAATTATCTCCAGCTTAATTTCCCCCCAAATTAGGTTATTTATATTTTGGCAGGACTTAAAACTATTGTTTTGAAAGCAAAGTGTGAAGTAACAATGCCAATCAATTTCCCCTTTGGAACACCTGATACAAAATATCATTTCTCATATAATCCAGCATTGCAGATGCATAGGTGTGTTTACAAATCATTAGCTAGAACCCAACTCTGAGTTTATTTCCATTGCCTGTTGTTTTTAAGAGTGAAGTTTACACTCAATTATCATTGGCAGGTGTTCATCAGTGAGGAATCTTGAAATCTGTGCTCAGGAAAACTGGCTCCAGCAGCTTTAGAAATTGCTGTATAATAATGTGTGTATAAACTAAGCATAGTGACCATTATTTTCTCCTCCTTGCCTTTTCCATAGCCTATAGACTCTCTTCTCTATGAATGTTCATCACTCAAAAAAGCAGCTGTAACCTCAACAAAACACTGGTATATTTTCAAAGCTAAACATGTTCAAATTTGGCTTCAGTCACTAAATTTGGGTCCAAATGTAGTGTCATATTTGAATTGCTTAGGTTTTCACAAAAAAAATGCTCTTTTAAATAAACTCTTATGTTCAAGACTCATCTAAGCTGAGTTTGACCCAGCTGACCAGAGTTTCTGCCCATAGTGTATCTGTTGTTTGCTATAAGATTAGGAACTGCAAAGCTGTTGGCATCCCAGAGCAATGCAAAGTCTAAATCTGCTCACGTATAAGCCTTCTTGAATTCCCTGGAGCTGTCTGTGCTCAGCCTGGATAATGAGATCTCTTTTAGGCAGCATAGAGGGATTCTGGAATTAAAAAGAAAGCGGGTGAAGGGGGAGCAGCCCTTCTAGTTACTGCAGAGAGGGAAGGCTGCTATTTTAAACTTCTCTGCAATAACTAGTTTCTAAGGAGGAGATTGTGCAGTTAAATTGTGAGGGGGGAAATCAAGAGTCCATTTCAAGGTTATACAGACCAACTTCAAGATCTGTACTGCATGTATGCTTAGCTGCTAAATATTTCGTATATTTATACAAAGGAAAAATATATAATCTGAAGGGATATGTAAGGAGACAATGACAGAAAGGGAGAAGTGCTAGAATCCAAGCTAATGTGTTAAAACATCTAAGGATGTGTTTTTTCACCAATAAAGAGCCATTCTGAACATGGATACCAATGAATACATTACAGTGGTACCTCGGGTTAAGTACTTAATTCGTTCCGGAGCTCCGTACTTAACCTGAAACTGTTCTTAACTTGAAGCACCACTTTAGCTAATGGGGCCTCCTGCTGCCGCCGGAGCACGATTTCTGTTCTCATCCTGAAGCAAAGTTCT